CTCAGAAGCAGGCAAAAGTCATATATAATGTATAAATAATCATGCTGTAGCCCTTTCTACTCTAACATGTATTTTTTGATGTTTCACGCGTTGAAAGGGAACATGTAAAGTATGCATTAAAATATGTATTAGTCCCGAGTTTGATCCCTGGTACCAAAAAAAAAATATGTATTAGTATTAATCACATGTAAGGATAGTACTGGCTGTAGAAACTACTGTTTCACAAATGTTACGTAAAGCTAAATCCTGTAATTGTAAAATATTCTTTCACTATAGAAAACATTCTCTTATCACACTATTATAGAAAAGTCTGGCCTGGAACTGTATTGCAGTCAGAGCAGAAGTTCATTAGCAGAGTCCAGTATTTCTGAAATCATGGTAAAACTTTCTTTGTCCTCAAACACCACCCTAAACACAAATTTAGCACCTAGCTTTTCAGCATGTCAAAAGAGTGGCAAAGTTCATTCTTGAGCCAGCCTAGATGTTAAGGTTATCATTCAGCTCATTGACTGTACCACTATAAAGATCAAGGCCATAAGTTTGATTATATGAACCAGCATAATTTTCATTCCGGAACTGCAGCTGCATTGTTAGTCTCAGTTTGTTTTATTATAAACATGGATCACCTCAAAAAGGACTAAACCAAAGGTCTGGGATGTGGCTCAGTAGTAGAGTGCCTGCCTAGCATGAGTGAGGCCCTAGGTTCAATCCCCAGTGTCTCTCTCTTTCACACACAAAGGAAGGAAAGAATTCAAACTACTACTACTTGGGAGAGAAACCAGAATCATGAAAATACTTGTTTATATATTGTCTTTATACACCAGTGATTATTGCTAGGTGAAAGACTCCATTCCTACAGACAGGGAAGGTCAAGAAGGCCACAGGTGATGACCCTAACATAAAGCTGGAATGGAGGCTCCTCAGGTGCTTACTGGGAAGCTGTTAAAACTCTTCAGTCTCTAAGAGAGCCCTATCACCAATCTCAGGGGCTCCCTGGGAATCCACTACAACTCATGTGTGTCTGTATCTCTAGGAGCAGCTGCCTTCAGAGGATAAAGGCTCCTTTCCCCACTTCCAGATTTTTAAAGTTCCTTCTGTTAATAAATTTTAATCAAGCAGGATGGGGGATTCGGAGAAATGTAGTTGAAGGTTTTTCTTTTGCAGTGCAGAGGACCCCGGAGTAATGATGATTATTCAGAATTGCTAATAGAGTTAAGCCTTTCCATCCATATCTGGCTTCTAAATCAAAACCATGTCATACAAGTGTGGTAAATGTTATGCTTGTTCCTAATTATGTACTTCCTTTCTGTAAGAACATATGTGACCGTGGGCCAGGGATTTAGCTCAGTGGTTCTGCTGCCTTGAAAGTACAAGGCCCCAAGTTCAATCCCTGGTACTAAAAAACAACAACAACAAAAGAATGCATGTGACCTTTAATTGTGACTGTCAACTGAGTTGGAACAAGAAACACCCATTGGAGTAGTGAAGCACACTTCTGGGTATGTCTGCAGCATTTCCAGAGATGACTGGCAGGCCGGTCAGCAAACCTGCAGAAGATCCATCTTGCTGTGGGTGGCACCACCCAACAGACTTGCAGCCCAGACAGGATGAAAAGCAAAGAAACGAAGTTGCTCTGCATTTGAAAAGCCTGATTCTGCTTGTGCAGGGACATCTTTTGCTGCTGCTACCTGCTGTGGACATCAGACTCCAGCTTATCAGCCTGTCAGCACAGATTCATACCAGCAAATGATTATGGTTAGGTGGAAGCTGTCGGGGAGCTGTGAAGCCTTTAGTCTTAGTCTGGCTCAGCATCCTTGATCCCTCTTGTTCCATAGCTTTGAGCAGCTCCTGGGTCCTCTGACTCTCCAGCATTCAGACAGCCACTGTAGACTCTCCCAGCTCTGGTCCAGTAAGCTTATCCAATAAAGCCCCTAGCATAGTTACATATACATGAAGTCCCTCTGGAAAACCCAAGCCAGTACAGTATAACACAGGCTTGCCTTCTTCTTCTTCACCAGTGTCCGGCCAGTCCATGTGAGTTGCTTTGGCCAATCATATGTGAGTTGTGAGTCATAGCACATCTGAGCAGCAGCTGTAAACTCATTTGTATGAGTGAGTCTCTTGCTACTGTAGTTTTCACTACAAGAACAAATAGTCTACGCCATCAGCCCAATCTAGAGCTTAGAGCCCAGGATAAGACATGTAGAACAAGCAGTGCACAGGTCTATACATGAGAAAGATATGTTTGTTGTTGTGAGCCACTGACATCTTAGGCTTGTCACTAGAGCAAAGTATATTGAAGCTGGTACCAATAGTGGGTGATAGTGGGTGGGTGGTAGTGGGTGATAACAAAACCTGAAAAATATGTGAGACTATTTTTTTTTTGGTACCGGGGATTGAACTCGGGTCCTTGTGCTTGCGAGGCAGGCAGCAGAACCACTGAGCTAAATCCCCAGCCCTTGTGAGATTGGTTTAAAAGCCAATGCCCAGTGAACAACACATAGAGAGGCTGGTAAGTTGTCAACCCATTATATGATGACAAAACATTTGTTAAAATCATTGCCTGCAATAACTTGCACTTAAAGAAAGTATGGTGGGTGAAAAGGTTTCAAGACAGAATGTGAGTACCATGAGTTGGTTAGCATTACTCACCTTTTAAAAAATATACTCATGCCAGGGGCTGGGGATTTAGCTCAGCGGTTTCACCGCCTGCTGTGCAAGTGCAAGGACCTGAGTTTGATCCCCGGTACCAAAAAAGCCCCCAAAAACAAAAAAAACTCATGCCGGAGATTTAGCTCAGTGGTGCTGCTGCCTGCCTGGCAAGCACAAGGTCCTGAGTTTGATCCCCAGTACCACAAAAACAAAAATAAAACAAACAAAAAATATACTCATAATCAAGGATGGCTCTTGATTGGCCTTTTTTCAGGTAGGGATAGAAAATTCAGGACTTAGAAAGTTGAAAGTGACGACATTTTTTATCCAACTTCTGAGAGAGAAAAATTTTAAATGTTTGAGGTAAAAGGCTGTTTAGGACAATGTATGGCTTAATGCCAATCATCCTAGCACTCAGGAGGCTGAGGGAGAAGAATCATGAGTTCAAGCCCAGCCTGGACTACACACACACACACACACACACACACACACACACACTACTTTGGCAAGCATGGTGGCACATGCCTGTAATCCCAGCACTTAGAAGGCTAAAAGAGGAGGATCAGAAGTTTGAGCCCAACCTGGGAAATTTAGCAATTTAGTGAGACCATGTCTCAAAAAAAAAATTTCAAAAAGGTGTGGGGGAGGTAACTCAGTGTGAAGGCCCTGGTTTCAATCCCCTGTACCACCATCACCACTACCACCACCAACACACAAATTTGTAGTTATGGGCAAATGAGCTGTTTTCTGTTTTAAAGCCAGGGTTTTCACTGAGCTACATCCATATATATATATATTTGTGTGTGTGTATATATCACAAATTTGTATTTATTTGTATATATCTCTATATATTTTTGTTTTGTTTTTCAGACAGGATCTAAGTTGCCCAGGCTTGGGTAGAACTTGCAGTCCTTTTGCCTCAGCCTCCCGGGGTGCTCAGGGATTATAGATGTGTGTCACCATACCCAGCTGGGTTTTTTTTGTTTTGTTTTGTTTTTTGTGGTACTGGGGATTGAACTCAGGGCCTTGTTCAAGCCCGCCAAATGCTCTACTATTGTGTTACATCCGTAGTCCTTTTAGTTGTTTTCACTTTGAGATAAAATCTTTTTTTTTGTTTTTTTTGGGTACTGGGGATCAAACTCAGGACTTTGTGCTTGCCAGGCAGGCACGGCACCAGAGCTAAATCCCCAGCACTGAGATAAGGTCTTGCTAAATTGCTGAAGGGTGGGGAGCTAATTCTACAGTGCAGACTAAAGACCTCTTTATCCCCGGAGGAACAAGAGTTCATTTGAGCAGCATTGTTATGGAGCAGTGACTGCTCTGTGCCTGTCATTTTTCTCTCTTCCAGAGGAAGGTTTATTGAGACTATCTTTCCTCTCTTCTATGTTGTAGCTTAGGTGTATGTATGTATGTATGTATGTATGGAGGGACAGGTAATTTATTTATCTACCTTTATTTTATTTTTTGAGACAGGGTCTCGCTTTGTAGTGCAGGCTGGCCTTGAACTCGCTATATAGTCCACACTGGCCTCAAACTCATGGTGATCCTCCTGCTTCGGCCTCTTGAATGCTGGGATTACAGGCATGTGCCACCTGCCCAGTTACCTTTATTTCTTTTTACAAAGAACTTTATTATCTTTGGCCTAAAATGTATAATTTAAAATGCACCTTTATGCTTTGGTATATGTATATATTTGAAACAATCACTATAATTTGGCAAATTAACATCTTGTTGCTGTTTTTAAGTTTACAAGTCTCGGGATCAAGAGACACTGCGTCTAGAACTGATGAGATTCGAGGCTTTAGGTCTCACATGACTGGGTAAGACTTTTGGAGTCTTCCCAAGAAGGGATTGTGCATATTTTGTGTATAGGGTAAGAGTGGACCTTCATGACCATCACCATGACAGCATTATTGTCACCCACTTGCCACACTGTGGGACAATGTGCTTTTCTGGCCCTGTTAGGCTTGTTCAAAAGAATATTAAGGTTTGGCCAATGGAATATTAAGAATTGGACTTACTTGGTATTCAAACAGGAGCTTTGAATGTGTTCACATGGTATATTTTGTTTCTTGTTCTTGCCCTTCACTATGAAAGCAGTATGGCCCGGGTAGGGGTCATTCCATCAGCTTAGTGCCAGAATAAGAGAACTTCAGGAGGAGAGTCAGTCTAGCAAGCCGTGCTGAGTCAAGGGAGCTCCACCAACCAACCCCTACACTCTGAAGAAATAAACTTTGTCATAAGACAGTGAGATTGGGTCTTTATATTGACCTTCTGTTATATCCTTTCTATATCTAATATCACTTTGAGTTCCCTCGTAGTGAAGAATTTAAAGACCTCATTTCTAATTCTAGCTTATTTTTCCTTTTATTAAAGTGCTTCATGAAATGAACAGAATTATCAACAATCAACACAAATTTTACTAAAATAATTACAAATAAAACACCTCTACTTTACAAATCACTCAAATAATGGAAGAAACAGTAACCACAACTGGAGATAAATATTAACTAAATTCCTAACACATATGAGTCCCCAAATTGGGAGATTCAACCTGGTGACCTCAGCATGTAGGGCTACTTGGTAATACCTGAAAGCTATTCCCCACAAATCACTGGAAAAAATGATATAATGTGAAAGTCTTTATTCTTGGTACTTTAGTTTCCTTATCTGCACTGAGAATTAATCTTCCCTTAGAGAAGAGTTATAAATAGTAATGTATGAAATGTTAAAGCTTAGCCTACTTTTGTGTCTCAGAAAGCATTCCTGTGTATGTTGTTAAAAGGTCAACTTCTTTGTTCTTGACATACATAGAATATTTTATGGCTTTAAAACAGATCGATGATTGCTCTTTCCTTGAAAACTGTCTTCACTCAAATCACATTAAAATCATACTAGCCTGACTTTAGGGGCTTTTTTTTTTTTCGGTACCGGAAATCGAACCCAGGGCCTTGCACTTGCCAGGCAGGTGCTGCACCACTGAACTAAATCCCCAGCCCCTGACTTTAGATTAATACAATTCATGGAAGGTGTGTTTCATAAAACTGTTTAATTGCAATGAGGACAGATGTCCTACTTGGGTAAAATTAACAAATTATTTTAAGAAGTTTCCTCCATTCAGTGCTTACATGTTTCATGCCTTTTTGTTAAAGATAGAAATCCTGTTACCATAAACTATAAAGCAATACTTAGACTTTGGTGTAGTTTCTTTGGATCTTGTCAAGTGCTCTATCATAACTTCCAAATGAGATGGTAGTTGACAATGGGCAGAGTAAATAAGCCAATCTGGACAAGACCTCTAGGCATAGCGTGCTGGTGCCATCATAACAAAATTCAGCAGTGTTTATGTTGGGAGGGGGATTTAGAGTGAAAAAGCTTGAAGATAATGTACAGATAATGTAATTGGGGAAAGAAGAAAAATAAAATGATCCTGATTGAATCAGAAAGTTTTCTAGAAATGTTTCTTTTGGGAAGGCTATGATTCTGCTGTCAAAGAGAGACGTATACAGAGGTTGATACACTGACCCTTATATTTTCAATAAAATGTGAAACACTTAGGAGTAATATTGCTAAATCTCCTCACGACACTTTGAAACTGCTAGTAGTAAAAAAGAAAAAAATCATTAATCAATTTTGGAGAAGCAAAAATGTAAGCTATGATGTTTTTGCTGTTGTTTTCAATTAAGAAATAAATTAATCAGCACAAATGGACATGCCATCTCAATAAATAAAATCTATAGTTAACTTGCCATTTAAAAAATGAAGTAGATGAAAAGAATAATTTTCTACAGTGTACTCAGCCATCTTAAGACTGAAACAATTTCAGAAAAACATGAAACATCCTTAAAGAAGGCCTAATTATTTCATACTGGTTGTGGCTCTTTGCGAAACACTCCATGCTCTATACAGACTATACATGGGCATAATTTTCACATTCAACATAGATCTCCTAAGAAACAAAGGAAAAACCACTACACAAATGTAACATGCAGTGTTTAGGGAATAGTAAATCATTATCTTTCACAAAGAAGGTGCAGGTGCTCTAAAATCATCTTAGAGCTAATGATTTGAGAAGAGTCAAAATTAAAAATTTTTAAATATAGTGTCATTTTTAAAGTTGCCAAACTTCTGATAAGTCCTAGGAATTCAGGGTGAGCAGAAGAAAATCTTTTTCCTAATGTATGACCTACACCTGCCCCACTATTTTGGATGAATGCCATGGCTCAAACACTATAACCAAGTCCTCTCGTTCTAGGAGCCAGCAAAGGCCAGCTTGGTTCTAGGCAAGACTAAGCAGGTCTCATCAAAGAGCCTTTCCAGGATTGATCCACCAAGAGGCTGCCATGGCCCATGGAGCATCCAGCTGACCCCAGGGCAAGGTAATCAGTTTGTTGTGACTCAGGATCCCAGCCTTGTACCATTTCCAAGCTCAACGCCCCCCAGAATAACCCTGAACTAGGCTGGATGCCTTGGGCTGGGCCTGGTCTCCCTTTGACAAGCAATCCTAGACCAGGAAGCACAGGCTGAATGGGTAGGGTAGGCAGAGCACCATTTATTGGGGCCAACCTCCATCAGATGCTTTGTTGACAAGAGCTCAGTCAGTAGTTCTGGAGAAGCTCCTCCCAACAGATGGGCTGTGAAAACACCTCTCTCTCCAACCAGAGCTCATAGGAATAGTGGAAATCTTCAGGTAGATCCAACCTCTGCCCCAGAACACTCTGCAGGCAGTTATCCACAGGTGAGAATTCAGAGTCCTGGGCTTTGTCATACCGGCGGCTGTTAAAAGCCTCAGTGTTGGCCCTCAAGGTGCACTCTTCTGCCTGGAAGTCCCATGGCCTGGCATCAATGTCTGTGTTGGAAAGAGAGGAAGAAAAAGATGCATAGAACTGTGGCTATCACTCCCCTGCTACAGAGGATGGACTATGGGATTCCAACAATGAAACTGATCAGGATTATCCTTCTTTGTAAAGAGCAATGTACAAAGTAAATATATAGCATTCTAACAATTGCATGGAATTTCCCCCACCATATCACAAGTCTGTGTTGTTTGTTTTTGTTTTGTGGTACTGGGAATTGAACCCAGGGCCTTCACACTGAGTTACATATCCAGCCTATTTTTTATTTTTGGAGACAGGGTCTCAGTAAGTCACTGTTATGGCTTGTGTCCCAACAAAGCCTCCTGCAGTCATAGGTGGGGCTCTTTAGAAGTGGCTGGATCTAGAGTGTGTGTTGCTGGAACTAAGTGTGTAATGCTAGAATCAGGGGTGTGTGATTATTAAATTAGTCCACTGATTGGTTTGGCATAGTTCTGAGTGTGGATAATGTGAAGGCCTACCCTGGGTGTGAGTGTTACCTGCCCTAAGAGTGTGTATCCTGGATAGAATATAAGGGACAGAAAGAAGGCTGCTGTCATCACTTCCTACTTCCTGCTTCCTTGCTACTTTGCTGCTTTGCTGCCTTCCTGCCTTCTGCCCACCATGAACTGTTTCTCCTCTGCAATGCCCCCTGCCTTGCTATCCTGCTTTGGAGTCAGCTAATGATGGACTGAAACCTCTACAAGCTGTGAGCTAAATAAACTTTCCTCCTTTAACTTTGGGTGTTGGGTATTTTGTCTCAGCAAGGAGAAAAGTAACCAAGATAGTAACTAAGTAGCTCAGAATGGGCTTGAACTTTTTTTTTTTTTTTTGAGACAGGGTTGCACAGTGCAGTTCAAGCTTGCCTTGAACTTTCAGAAATTCTCCTGCCTCAGCCTCCCACAGTGGTGGGTCCACAGCCCTGAGCCACCAGGTTGGCCTTTATTAGCATCTTTTAAGATTATGAGCTGAAGGCACCCATGCAAGTCAAAACAGAAAACATAATCTGCTTTGCATCATTCACTTACACATCTATTTCAAGGTTGGAGATACAAATTTCCCCATCTCTGATGTCCTAAACTCTGTGGTTTATAATAAAAAGTATAGTTTGGGGTTAGGCTCATAATGGCAGCAACAAGAGGAATGTCATTTGTAGGATAAAACATTTTATGCTTTAAAGGGTGGAGATATAGTATGATATCCTGGGTTTAATCACCAAAAAAAAAAAGCTTTATGCTTTAACAGCTCTCAAGAATTTAAAAAGCTGGGTCTGGGATTTAATTTAGTGGTGCCACACCTGCTTTGCAAGTGCAAGGTCCAGAGTTCGATCCTCAGTACCAAAAAAAAAAGAATTTAAATAGCTAACCGTACTTTACATCCTATAGAAGAAGTTGCATCCTGGCTTGTTATATGCCAATCATATGTTTCCTATGGTTCTCTGAACTCTTTACTGTGGCATTCTATAAAATTCAAGGAGATTATAAACTGAACAAATATGAGTCATTAACTACCTTAAAATTATTAAATTCAATTATGAAAATAACAGTCAATTCCAATGATAATAAATACAATGAAAAAAGCTCTCCAAGATAAAAGTTTATCCAAACTCAGTTCAAACTTAGCATAAATTCTGATAGATCAAACAGATACTATGGCTCCCAATGTGAGGCAATATGCAGTTGCCAAAATTATGTAGGAGGTATTATAGCCATAAAGGTTTATACTGAATTCAACAAACCTTAAGATTTAACTTTCAGCTTCTAATGAATAGCATGGATAGAGAAGTAAGTTAAATGACATGACAAAGAAACACACTAACAAATCCAGGAGGAGAGTATTCTGTAGGAAAACTGGCCTAGTTCTTCAATTAGTGTATGGAGGGGGTGTTAGATTAAAAATAAATTAATGTATATAACAACTAGATGTAATTTCTGGTCTTGAATTAAATTCTAACATGGAAAAATAGCTGAAAAAAATCATTTTGAAAAAAAAGCATTTTGGAACAACTGGAAAAGTCTGAATATGGGCTTGATTCTAGATATAATGAAAATGCATTGACATGGAAAGGCAGAAATAATGTTAACTGAAAAGAGAAGATTATATAAAAAAGAGAAGGTTATAACATAGCATATACTAATTCTTTTCATTTTAATAAAATAAACATAGAAAAATATCTGCAAGAATACACAATAAGATATTAACATTGGCAATCTCTGGGTGGCACAACTATGTAAATTTGATTAAACATATGATTAAACTATGATTAAACATATCTCCTCAAACATCTTTTTTTGTAGTAAAAATATTCAGTACCCTTTATTCTAACTTTTTAAAAGTATTAATTGACTTCTTTTATAAAGTGGGTTTCATAGATACACAGGACAAAGTGCATGCTAGAATTTGGGGCATTACATTATGTTTGATGTAATAACATCTAATCTATTATCACATGTTTTTCATCTGAAAAATTCAATCTACAAAATTCACATAAAAAAATAGAGATAAATGTTTGCTTAGTTTTGTTTGACCCCAGGCAATTTCTGGAAGTTAAATGCCCCGAGAATACTCACCATTCCCATAAGCCCAGTCATCGTTCATGCGGTGGCGCACTTTCTGGTAAATGGCAGACATAGTTTTCATGTTGCTTTTCCTCCACTGGCGCCCCAGGTACTTGGTCTGTATCTTTAGCAACTTCAAGACATAAAGTTGCAACATGGCCTGTTTGACCTTGAGGGCCCTCTTTAAGATTGGAGCTGATTTAAACACTACGAGCATCTGCCAAATGAAAAAGAAAGGCCCATTAAAGATGTAGTTTCTTGGAATTTCCAACTTACATAGAAATTGAGACAAACCTCCATACCCATGTTTATAGCAATACAATTCCTAATAGCTAAATCTAGGAAATGGCCTATATGTACATCAACAGATGACTAGATAAAGAAAATGTGGTATTTACACACAATGGAGTTCTACTCTTCCATAAAGAAGAATAAACTTGAGTCATTTGTAGGAAAATGAATTCACCTTTAAACCATAATGTTAAGTGAAATAAATCAGACATATAATCCTCAATATTGCATGGGTCCTCTTATATGAGCAGCCCAAAATATAAATAAACAGCAAAATAAAAGATAGATAATAGGAAATAGGGAAATAGATCTTTTGCAAAAGGGAGGAGGACCAAGAGATGGAGGGAGGTGGGAGAGAGCAGAGGTAAAGGGGATGAAAAAAGAATTAAGGTGTGTTATGCACATGTACCCACTCCACGTGAGGAATGTAATCATTATGTACTATAAATATGTACTAATAAAAATACAAATTGAAAAAAAAAGAAACACAACCCTGGGTAGCCTCATGTACCCCCAGGGAACTTTGGGGAATATAAAGTCCAGGGTCTACTTAGATTTAGTTTTTAAAAATATATAAAGCTGGGTGTGGTGGCGCATGTCTCTAATCTGCGCAATTTGGGAGACTGAGGCAGGAAGACTGCAAATTCAAGCCCAGCCTAGGCAACTTAGACCCTGTCTCAAAATTTAAAAAAAAAAAAAAAGGACTAGGGATGTAGATTAGTGTGAAGGCCCTAGGTTCAATACCTAGAACTAAGTAAATAGTAAATTTAAAAAACATGTAGAAGACATTCCTCTCAGTGTGCCTAATGTTAAAGGGTGTGGGATAAAGCAGGACAGAATTTGTGTCTGTCATACATCCCACTTCCACTATTAGCCATTTCTTGTGTTTCTTCTGGAAATAATTCTATGTATGCACATATAACTTTTGTTTTTTAACACAAATAATGGCCAATTACCTATTGTATCATACTGTTCTGTATATTACTTTTTAATATTACTTTTATTTAATAATATATTTTGAAAATTATTCCATACCAATATAGAACATTGTTTTTAGTGGTTATGTAATATTCTGTTATAAGGATACATCATTTATTTAACCAGATGGTCTTGTATTAATGGGCATTTAGGTAGCTTCTAATTTCTCATTTCAAACAATGCAGTATGAGTAAGCTTAGATTACATCATGTAGGATGTGTGACTGAATCCACACATGGTTAATTTCCCCTGACCAGAGCTACCCTAAGGGAGGATCCACATTCAGCTCCCTGAATACAAATGGACTGGTATGTAATCATCTTATTTAGTGTAAGTGCCCAGAATCAGGAGGTGCTGTACTTATACAGGATTATACAGATCTCACAAAGCAGCCAGTCCACAAACATTTACTAGTGGTTACAAAATTCACTCAGATGGACACCTCCACGATTGGAAGCCCCACTCACCATGGTCCTGGAATGCTTCCATTTGGTCAGTTTATTGAGCAGCCTCAGGAGGTTGATGCAAGAAAAGAGATTCCTCCAGCAGAACTGGTTGTTGTCCCCAGCTTCCTGAAATAAGGAACATCTATCATTATCTCAACACCCACAGGGTTTTCATTCCCATAGAAGCCTGCCAGTCACTGTTAGTCAGCTTAGGTGAGGCCTTCCAGTATGAAATGCTGCCTCCTCACCTTCATGCTCTTTACATGCTGAGGTCTCAGAGCACATAACATCTTTCACCTGAAGTCCCACTCAGCTGGGGTAGGGGTGTAGCTCAGCTGTGGAGTGCTTCCCTAGCCTGTGCAAAGCCCTGGGTCTGATCTCCAGCATTGCATTTACATTTTTTTAAAAATTATTTTTATTTATTCATTTACTGTTTTGGTTTTTTGAGATAGGGTCTCCCTATTAGTTCAAGCTGGTCTTGAACTCACTATGTAGCCCAGGCAGCCTCGAACTCATGGCAATCCTCCTGCCTCAGCTTCTCAAGTGCTGGGATCATAGGTGTGTGCCACTGAGCCCAGCTTTTTTTTTTTAGCATTGCATTTAAACAACAAAAACAATAACCATCTCCTCAGCTGGTGAAATCTTGGAAGATTCTTTAACTAAACTAGTGCAAGCACTGGCTAGAAAGGAAATACATGAACACATGAACTCAATTCAAGCAAGCTTTCTTGTCTAGCTTACTGCTTAGGATCAGAAAAGAGATGAAAGAATCTTAACCCCATCTACTGTGCATTTCCATAAGCTGAGTTTGTAACTGCTAGGAATTTGGGTTCATTCTGGTAGCTTTTAAATTATCCTGGATAGATCTGATATTCATTATGGTTAATGTTTTAAAAACCAACTTCCACCTTCCTTTATCCAACCATATTGCAGCCATATGCTTAATTTCCCAGCATGGAAAGAAAGATGGCAGATGGTTCATTTTACCCAGGTGTCTTTCCTGTGTGTTTCTGGGTAGTTTGTGACAACAAGTGGATTGTGGAGTAGAAACAGTTATCTATCCATGGAAACATTTTTCAGAAACAAAAATTAAAAGTGCTTATGTGATTTGGGGCCTGTACGTACACACTGGTGTCAGAAGTTATATAAATCAATGAGCGTGCATGATAGCAAACAAACATCTTGGAAATTCCTCATGTCTACAATGTGATAGGAGAATACAGGAGGAGACATATAGAAGGGGGATGTTGTCTGGAATAGAAAATTACCTCTTCTTCCCCTCATTTTTTTTTGAGACAAGGTCTCACCATGTAGTTCAGGCTGGTCTTGAATTCACTATGTAACCCAGGTTGGCCTCAAGCTTACAGCGATCCTCCTGCCTCAGCCTCCCAAGTGCTGGGATTACTGGCATGCACCATCATGCCCAGCCTCTCCTAAATTAACTTGAAGCAAGCAAGACAGGGTTACCTCTAGTGTGGAATGAACATCCAAGAGTTTTGAGGGTATTAGGCTCTCCTAATATCAAGGGTTGAAAAGTTTCAGAAAAACTTTAGAAATGTTATTTACAAATAAGATTCTCCTTCCTATGGCAAATGTTCAATATTGTACTTAGAATTAGTTCCAGGAAAACCGTCTGTCTGTTTCTGAGGGAAACTTCTATAGGAGTTTCTATGCTAATGCATCAGCTAATCTGGCCAAAACCAAGGAGCTTTTATACCTTGTGTGGAGAACAGAGACAGACTTTACATTTTTAAGAAGCAAGGGAGGGCCAGAGATGTAGCTCAGCAGTGCCGCACCTGCCTGGCAAGAGTAAGGTCCTGAGTTCAATCCCCAGTAATGGAAAAAAGAAAAAAGAAGCAAGGAAAATGTAAAATATATGGGGTAGGTAAGTATCATAGTGGACTTCCTTTATCCCAGTTTCCATTATGGCAGAGCCATAAACACCTCACATTCCTTGGCACTTCAGAGGTTAATAGGTTAATAAGCAACAGCATGGTCTTGTGGATGCAGCCCTGGGGAGTAGGCACCCTAAATTATGGCCTCACCCCTGACTGTACCATCTTAGACAAGTCATTTTCTGTTTCAAGAAAAATGTCTTCAGCTTTAACCGTTTTATAATTCTATGATTTGGAATTTCTCCAGTGGAGAGAACTGCCTCATTCTATTTCATGGCTATACATTCTATTACAAGGACATACCTGTATTTAACCAGTTGGTTCTGTACTAACTGGGATTTAGGTTGTTTCCAATCTTTCATTATTACAAGCAATGTAGCAATGAATGATCTTAGACTTACATCATTTGGGATGTGTGACTATAAACAAAACAACATTGCCTGGGAGGCTGAGCCAGGAAGATCCCAAGTTCAAGGCCAGCAGGGCAATTTAGCAACTGAGGGAATACCTTCCTGAAATTTAAAAACAACAAAAGGGCTGGGTACGAAGCTCAGTGTGAAAGCCCTGAGTTTAATTTCCAGTGCTAAAGAAGAAAACAAAACAAAAGCAACATTGCCAATTTCCTTGCTAGAGCTGCCCTGAGGATGAAAATACAAGGACCAGTTTTGTAAGTAAAGTTTTAGTTTTACAAGTGAAGTTTGACTGGGGTAAGCTGATTGTGGCTGCCTTTTCCTCGAAGCTCAGTCTGGTGGGCTCCTTCCAGGAAAGCCCCTCAGTACCCTCCCATGATGGCCTCAGCTGCCCAAGGCCTCCTGAGAGAACTGTAACTACAGCAGCACCACTTTCCCACCACCAGGGATGTGGGTCAGTGGCGCTGAGCCCAGCCAAGCCCAGCCCCGGCTGGTTCTGACTCTGGCTTGCAGCATCAGGCTCTTCCTGAAGCACTGCTCCAGCCTCTGCCTTGTTCACAGAAAATCATTTTCCCACCCAGTCTTTAGCTTCGTGGGTACTTGTTCTGATTTGCCAGACTGGAGGGTGCTTTCATTATGTTTCTGTTCTTTTAAGGTAGGTCATCTTTTGTGTGTTTGAAGTAAACCTCTGTGGAAATGTATTTTGTGAACAGGAGCAAACAGCCATATTCTCTTGCTCCTGGTGCTTCATGCTAGACAAATCTTTCTACCAGCTAGAGCTAAAAGAGGGGTCTGGGATGTAGCTCAGAGGTGGGGAGCTTGCCTAGCTTGTCTAAAGCCCTGGGCTCAATCCCCAGCACTGGAACAAACAAAACTCTTGCCTATGTTTCAAGGTCACAAATAAATATTTGTTTATAGTAAACTTTGAGTCTAAAGATTCAGTGCGGGGACCACATCCTACCATTTCAGAGCATCTCCAAGACACTATCAGAGTTCTGTTCTCTAAGTTCCTAGCTGAGTGAGCCAAGCCAAATAAAAACCCAGGCTATGCCAATTATGTGGAAAATTAACCGAGAGGACTAAGGCAAGAACAAATTGTTTCTTCCTTTTGAACTGAGGAAATCAGTTTGATTAGAATTTGAGCACTAGAAGAGACTCAGCTGTTCTAGTCCAATTCCATCACACACAGAAGCAAAAACTGAGGCCCAGAGAGGGACAGGAGACTGCAGTCACATATAAGTGCCCAAGCATGGTAAGTGCCCAATCTCCATTGAATTTGAAGATTGTTTACTGGTCACCTTCTAGCTGTATTCTGGATCCCTAGACATAATCAGAATACTCGGATTCCTGTCAGAAAATTTGCTTAGATCTTCTATTTTTCTGAGCTTCACGAAGACCTAAAGGTAGAAGTTTTGTGTGTGTGTGTGTGTGTGTGTGTGTGTGTGTGTGTGTGTGGTTTTAGGGACTGAACCCAGGGCTTTTGCACTGAGCTACCTCTCCAGCCTATTTATTTATTTATTTATTTATTTATTTATTTATTTATTGGTACCAGGGATCGAAATCGGGACCTTGTGCTTGTGAGGCAGGCAGCGGAACCACTGAGCTAAATCCCCGTCCCTCTTATATTTTTTAAAATTATTCTCTTCTCATATGGATTTTTCTGATAAGTTACTACTAGAATAAGGACCTAGGTCTAAGAATTATAAAAGAGAGTAATGGTTTTTCAGTGGAATGAGTAAGAAATAAGAAAACTTCAGCCAGGTATGATGGCACATGCCTGTAATCCCAGCGCTTGGGAGGCTAAGGCTGGCAGATCACCATGAGTTTGAGTGCATGGGTGAGAATGGCCTATTCTAACGTGAATCATTTTGACAAAATAGAATTCAGAAATTAATATGCCGTTCACTTTGCCTTAATTTCATGTCCACCATTGCCGTGCACCTGGAGTGTCAAATGAGACAAATGAATTCACTTCAAATTCAGAAAACAGAAAAATATGAACCAAGACTATCTCAGCCCATCAACTCCATTTCCAGGCATCTATATTAAGGAAATAATCAAAGATGAGGTCAAAGGGTATTTATTTTGGAGTTCTACAGGGAAACCTGAGATGAATGTTCAACAGAAGAGTTGAAAATTAAGTAGTCCAGTATCATATATAACTATTAATCAGGTTTTCAAGAATGTTTAACACAGACGTAGGTCAGAGGTAGAGTACCTGTTTAGCATGTGCTCAGCAGAACCACCACCAAAAAAACAAATAAAACTCCCAAAAGATTAAGAAAAATACATTGCAAACATTTAAATTTTACTATGTCAAGTGAAACCACAAATATATAAAGTCTTTATTTTGTTAAATAATATTATTTAAAGCAAATCCTATGTATTTGAACAGCCAGTACATTTTTTTGTGCTTACAATTCACTGAGCCTGAAAGAGAGTTAAATCTTACTCTTATAAATGTTAGTCTTTTTTGGGGGTACAGAAATCACCGATGTAGATAAGCAGACCATTGTATTGAGGATCTATGGGGGTAACTTTGGTAGTTACTGAAGGCTGCGGTGACTCAGAAACACTAGAAGCTAGGTGTGTGTGTGAGGGGGCTGTGGTTACTAAACATAACCACCGGGCGCCACTATTGCTTTCCAGAAAGGAGTACAATACCAAGCATGACCTTTCTATTAAGGATTCATGCTTTCACTCACGTTTAAATAATAGTCTCCAAAGGCATAATAACATTTCGATACAGTAATTTTAGTTCGTATCAAAGGTTAGTTGGAAGAGATATGAAAGTACAGTTCCTATCAATTCCTATGTGTAAACGAATAGGGTTAGAATAGAGAATAAATAACATTACATTGCATCAAGGAATAGATTCAGGCCATAAAAGCTGAGTTTATATTTTAAAATATTGTACTAATAGTAACATTTTAATGCTACTGTGTACACTGTCTCTGTATAAAATCTATTCTTCATTCCAACACTGAATGGCAGGAATGTGCATGTTTCTGCCCCTACTTTGCTACTTTGAACTATAAGGTCTTGGCAGCTACTTAACTTCTCCAATTATAAAATCATAGCGTTTTTTTGCAGGGGGGTACTAGGGATCGAACTCTGGACTATGAGCTTGAGGCAGGCAGTGGAACCACTGAGCTAAATCCCTGGCCCTCATAGAGTTGTTTTTAAAGAGATTGAGTACCATGTAAATAAACAGAGTTGGACATTTTACTATTGCTCTGTAGAAGTAAAGATTCTAATGTCTTTGGCTGCAGTGACTACATCTAAATAAGTCAGGGAATTCGTCTCAGTGACAAAAAGTTTGCTGAATTTGGTGTCCCAGGACATTTGACTCATGTCTCATTTGGGTCTGTCACCTATGAGTGGTCTATGACAAGTCAATTCATCCACTGAGTACTAATCTTTGACATTTAAGGGTGCGGGGAGGTTAGGTCAAATGGTTCTTAAGTCCCCTCCAGGCAAGACTCCTATGTATGGGTCTATAAAAACAGAAGTGTATTTTGGCATAATATACTCTTCTGACTCAGTATTTTGTAGGTATTAGGGGACAAAGTGTTGTAGCACCCACAGATATCATCACCCAATCATTCAGCACTTATTGAGGCCTTCAATGTACCAGATATAGTGCTAGATATAAAAATGAAGATGACAGGCCATGGTGGTCCATGCCTGTAATCCCAGAACTTGGGAGGCTGAGGCAGGAGGATCACTGTGAGTGTGAGGCCAGCCTGGGCTACATAGTGAGGCCCTGTCTCAAAAAAACCAAGAGAAGTTGATACTCTTCTGTCAAGAAGTTCACAGCCAAACCTACAAAATTACACATAAATAACTGCAATGCAAGAGGATGAGGATGTAGGCTGGAGTATATCTAAATATATGAGATACACCTTATCTTCAATATGCTTTTGGTCAGTCAGTTTCAGGGAATTCATAACGCAAGAGAACTTTCTTGATTTGCGTAGAACTGTTTTCAGGGTGAAGAACTTTCTGGGCTATCCTCTGGCTATACTGACTGGTTTTTTTTTGGTACTGGAGATCGAACTTGGGACCTTGTGCTTGCAAGGCAGGCACTGGAACCACTGAGCTAAATCCCTAGCCCTCTATACTGACTTTTGGCTCAGAGAGACAAGATATTTTCTGAAATACATACTCCTGGGTTATATAACTCCAGCAAGAAAATGAGAAGTGCATCATCTGAGCAGAGCAGAAAGATAATTGTTTATGCTATGTCAGAAGAAATTCTCCTGCCATTTAGCATGAATGTTCACTGAATTTTAGTCCCATCATCTTTCTAAATTCCCTCTCCTCCTTTGTGTTTTTCACTGGCTCTTTCCTCTTCTCTTCAAAATGCTAAGATCAGCTTTTCTGAATCTTCCTCAACTAGGTCAGCGGCTCTAAGTCCATACTCCCTCTCTGCACTTTCTATTATGCCGTCATTGATCTGAGACTCCACAGGGCATTGTGGGGCTGGAGAAGAAGTGAAAAAGCAAATGCCAGCCTCTTCCACCTGGCAGTTTCAAAGGCTACTAAATCCCCATCTGCTTACCAGAGTCTCAGTAGTAAGCTCAGGCAAATCCTGGATGGTACAGCCAGGGTAATCCAGGACTGAGATGCTGCAAGACACAGAGATAAGGACAGGCTTTAGGTAAATGGCAACAGCAGGAAATGGTTGCATCTAAAAGGGCAGGAGTTATTTCTCTCCCGAAGGGTTCATCCATTTCCCAAATTGCTTAGTGACCTCAGCTGAAACTGAAGGCACTGATACTGGGCAGCCCCAGCTCCAGTTTCCTCTTTCTGGTCATGAGGGAAACCAAGGAGTTCTTTCAGGCTGGCCCGTTCTAGCAGATGCAAAAAGAGTAAATGCAGAAACAGAGCCTCTTTTCTTTTCTTTTTTTTTGGTACTGGGGATTGAACTCGGGTCCTTGCGCTTGCGAGGCAGGCGGCAGAACCACTGAGCTAAATCCCCAGCCCTCTCAGATCTTTCTGAAAGCCAGGAACTTTGAGGAATGATTGCAGAAGCTACTCTTGCAGCAAGCTTAAAATAGGGGCAGCTTCCTGTAGCAGGGCCAATCTAGTAGCTGAAGAATGATGATAGTGTCTGGCCCAAAAACCAACAATGGGGGACTATAGGAAAGCTACAGGCTCTGTGGGGAGCCCAGAGAAGCAGCCATGAGTCAGGAGGGGAAATAAGATACCACATGATGACAGGGACACAGTCACTCAACAAATGACAGTTCTCTTTCTTTTCTCTTCTCTCTCCCCAGTACAATGCAGAATTTAGACTAGTTAATCTCTAATGCTCTTTTGGCTCTGACATGCACCCTGATATTCAATGAGGTTTGAGATACCAATCTGAACTAGTGAAGTTTGAAATGGGTAAAGGATTTTGGCAAAGCAGAAACTATATCAACGAGTGTGGGGTGCTTGAACCTCTCTGCACTTTGCAAGTTGAAACTTCTATATAAGAAAAAAAATGATTTATCTGGCTAGAAATGTTTATCTCTGTCTAAGAAACACAAACCAAGAAAATCTAGGACAGTGGTGGCAAACCTATGGTACATGTGCTACAGCGGGCTGTTTGTGTCACTGAAAGCTCTAAAAGGTTCACCATCACTGACCTAGGAGAACCAGGGCAGGAGAGCAGAGGTGTCAGCTTGGGAAAGAACAGTGAGTCTACCTGTAATGTTGCTCATCATCTCTATTTACTACTCTGGATCTCCCAGTTGCCACTTCTGTATTGCCCGATAGGATAAGCATTCTTGGCTGGTTTACCCACCTGTCTATCCACCTCCCACTGACAAAGCTCCACACCAAAGTAGGTGCTGGTGGCTAGCACCTGACTAGCTGGCAGGAAATCAGAGATGAAATTTGTTACAGTCTCTCAGCGAACTGAATTCTAGCCTAAGGGGGCATAGAAGAAATTTACAAGTATCTAGAATGTCTGGATTATAAAAGCCATGAGGAAATTGTACAATGATAAGCTGTGGTGTTCTAAATTCTTAGGGATCATTCAAAAGTAAAACTTACAGGTGGCACACAGATGGCACCATTTTGTCCAGGCCAACTTTAGCAACAGCTGTAGTCTGCCACTAGTTCGTTTCCAACTCCAAGCAAAATTGACAGACACATATTAGGCTGTCTCCTCCCCGCCTTTCAAGCCCATGCACACATGCTTCACTCCCCTTACGGCTGACTGACCCAGCTAGATCTCTAACCCTGGGAATCTGGAACAAGGATTGAGTGACATGTTTAGTTCATGTGGGCATATCTCCTCACCAAGTGGCCTGAGAAGCAGACAAATTTGTCAGTGAGAGAGGAAATCTGAGTAAAATACAGAGACGTGGAATCCACAAGTGGAGATGAAAGGCTTCTTGGGCTCCCCACACCATAGACCGACTTTTAACACAGGCCCAAAGCCAATTAGACTAGTGTTATGGTTTAGATCAAGAATATCTCTCAAAGGCCTCATGCACGCATAGGCTGGGCTTTTGGGAGGTGACTGAATCACGAGGGTGATATAGTTGACTTGCTGTTAGGACGTGGGATCTGGTGGAAAGACGTGTGTTACTGGGGCTGGGGATTTAGCTCAGTGGTTCTGCCGCCTGCCTCACAAGTGGAAGGTCCTGAGTTCGATCTCTGGTACCAAAAAAAAAAAAAAAGAAAAAAGAAAAAAGAAGTGTGTTACTGGGGTTGTGACCTGGAGGGTGTATCTCTCACCCCAGCTCCTCCCTTCTCTGCTTCCTAGCCACCATGATGTGAGCAGCTTTCCACCATGCCATTTTTGTGTTTAAGCCTGCCTCTGAAACTGTGAGCTAAAATAAACTTCTCCTCCTTTAAGTTGTAGGTGTCAGGTGTTTTTTGTCTCAGCAATTAAGAAAGTGACTAAGACAACGGAATAACATAACCAAGAGTGTTGACTGATACACACAGGTGCCTGCATGCAGTTGTGGCCCTGACACATTCTGACTGACTGACTATCTATCTATCTATCTATCTATCTATCTAATCTATCTGATGGTAGTCTCTGCTTAGGTGGCCCAGGTTGGCTGCAAATTTGTGATCTTTGGGCTGTGGATATAGCTCAGTGGCATCTCACCTGCCTGGCAAGTACAAGGTCCTGAGTTCGATCCCCGGTACCAGAAAAAAAAAGTTTGTGACCCTTTCAGCCTCTCAAGTAGCTGGAATTAACAGGTGTGCACCAACATGCCTGACCTATGCTTTCATTTTCCCTGGCATTCCAACAAACATGTCTAGAGCATCATTTTTAGGAGAAACAGTGCCTCGGTTTCCATATAGTAAGGAAAAAAATCCCCTTCTCCAATGCCTCCCTGATTCCTTTCAAAGTAAAGTACTTAAAGCACTCTCATACTAATTTTTTTGGAGGGGTGGTGGGGGTGGAGCTCAGGGCCTCATGTAGGTTAGCTTCTCTCTGTCACTGAGCCACATTCCCAGCCCGCCTCTCATACTAATCTTAACTAATGTTTATAAAAGCTCTATGGCACTGGGGACATAGCTAAGTGGTCACACACTTGATTAGCCTGTGTGAGTCCCCAGCACTAGAAAAAAAAACCTCTATGACATACTTAGAGGCATTTTAAAGATGCAAATACTGTGGCTCAGAGAAATTAAGCGTTTTTGTGAGATTACATCTTATAGTTAGCAAATGGCAGATCCAGGTCAGGAATTCAGGTCTCATGGCTTCAGGCTCTGTGGAGGGTGTGTGTGTTTAAACTACATACAAGGCTGCCTCTCCACAGTAGAATTTCAGGCAGTACTAACAGACTAGTGAGATAACATCTCCTTGCCCCTACCTTTCCAGACACCCCAAGTACGACACCAAACCTCTTACTTTTACTTTAGTAGCTTGGCCTCTGGTAAAGGAATTCTGGGAAACTCTACCAAAGAACATGCTTACAGTTCTCATGGAAGTAGCAAACTAAGGAACAAGGGTCTACTTAGCAATTTCCCAGTCCTAGCTGGGAAATCCACACAAAAGCCTGTGTTCTGATCCTGCTTCTGATGTGTACTTAAGAGGTCTCATTAGGATGTTAATCTTGAGCAAGTCAATTAATCTCTTTGGATTTGTCTTCTAATTGGAAAATGAGAATAAAATTTATATCTCTTAGCACTGCTGATAAGATGAAATGAAACAATGAATGTGAAAATATCTTATTTTTTAACTACAAATTAAGTAAAGCTCTGTTTACCTTTAGTCAGATTTTGTATAATATTTTATAATTTACAAAGCAATGTAACTGCAAGTATTCCAATTTATGATTTATATTGATATCAGAGCTGGCCAGACAAGCTGATTGCTTCACAACAACAAAATTTCCTGGGTCCTTCTCCCAGAGGATTTTCATCACAGAAATTTCATCACTGTGGCTTCATTTTTATAAGTAATAGCACTTTTCAGTTTCAAAACTATTAAAGTTACCCAGCTGTGGTGGTGCATGCCTGTAATCCCAGCACTCTGGGAGACTCAGGCAAGATCTCACATTTGAGCCCAGCCTAGGCAATTTATGACTTAGTGAGACCTTGTCTCAAAAATAGAAAAGGGTTGGGGATGTACCTCAGTGAGGAGGCCCTGGGTTCAATAGCCAATGCTGAAAAAAAACCCCAAACTACTGCAATACAAATATCTCTGCAAAAAGACAAATCATACACCCTCATCAGCTAACACATCAAGAAAATTAAATTTAACAGAGGCAGCTCTTAACATAGGAGAGACTAGGGACACCAGATGCAGAGATGTGTAATTTTCTCAATCACTAAAAAGTAGCCCATTGAAATAAACCCATCTAGAGTTCATACCTGTTTTTGGCAGTAATGTAGGACAAGATATTTTGATTGAAGAACTTTAGGATCAACGGGATGCAGTTGGCAAATACCAAATGTTGTGATATATATTCAAACTAAATTAAAAGATCAAAGCAGAAAGGGCTGCTTATTTGGGGGGAAATAGAGGGTATACATTAAAGAGAGAAAGAGAGAGAGAGTGAGAGAGACAAATCTAATATCCATTCCTAAGAATATCCACTGTCCACTTGTGTTATCAGTCTTCCTATCTCTGAAATAGGACATTCATCTTCAGCTAGCCCATCCTACAAGGAGGGGAATAATCGATTTAGATTGTACATTATATGCTCCTGAAAGAAAACAAGCCAGAAATAAAAACACACTCCAAATAAATAGAAGGAGCTGGGCATGGTGGCCCATGTCTGTAATCCTAGCACTCAGGAGATTGAGGCAGAAGGATCACCATGGGTTCAAAGCCAGCCTGAACTACATAGCAAGACTCTGTCTCAAAATAAAACAAAACAAGCAAACAAAAATTCAAATAAATGGAAGGAATTGCGGTGAGATTTGTTCTTAAACTCAACAGGAAAACGAAGGCTCCCTGAGGGATCTGCTTTCCATACCAAAACTTTGGCTTAAATGTTTCAACTGTGATTGACACAGCAGCGACAGGTGTAGCACACTCCAGTCAACTGCTTGCATCACTCAGGCAGAATGGAGTCAGCACACAGTAAGCAAATCAACCACTAGCATGTGGACTCCAGCTTGTCTGCTGCACATTATCCTAGCACTTAGAATATCAGTATTTCTTCCTTATTTTTTTTTTTTTGAGACAGGGTCTCACTGTGTAGTTCAGGCTGGCCTTGAACTCATGGTGATCCTCCTGCCTCAGCCTCCTGAGTGCTGGGACTACAGGTGTGCACACCACACCTGGCTGTAGAATATCAGTATCTCAATGAATGAACAAGAGCCCTTCAGCCAACAGACACTACTGAGAAGTCCAAGATGTCTTTCTTTGATAAGATAAACACCAGAGCATGGGGACTTCATCAGCTCTCTTGAGTCAGGATAGGGTTTGTATCCGGGAAGACCCAGTGGGGTAAGTAAGTGGTCATAAAAGCAGTGTCATGGAGTTAAACTGGATTTTGCCCATGACACACTGAAAAACACCAGAGATTGTCTATCTTCAAGAAGCTAGAAAGCTGGGCCAATACAGACATAAGCTTTAAAAAGCAGAGAAGTGAAGTGTTTAAAATCCCTAGCCCTGCATGATCAGCAAGAGGTAGCTGTAGCAGCAAGCTATGCTGCTGTCTGCCCCTGAAGATGCAGTTAGAGGTGGGGAGTCTGCTTGTGCAATAGTTTATCCCTGGAAACCAACCAGGGTGTTTTCCAAGCTTCAGACAGAGGAGCCAATACATACTCACTATAAAATGGGAAACTTCAGTTTGGGCCATGTCAGGCCCTGTCAGGATTCATCCACATTGACACACAATGGCAAGGCCCATCAAGCCACACACCAGCCTGGCTATAGAGCCACATCCCACCCACTAAGAGAAGCAGCCATGGTCACACATCCACAGTTCACTGGGAACACGGCCTCCTACTTTCCCCTACTACTTACTCCCAGCCTTGCTGCTGCTCAGCAGACATCAGAAGTGTGAGCACCAGGACATCTTACCACATCCAAAGATTTTTTTGAATGTACTAACATGGAGAGACTCTGGACACACAGGACCATGGTCACAGGCCCTCTAGGAGCCTCCCTGCACCCTGAGGACCTGCTCTTCTAGCATCAGACCTGTTTCTGAGTCCTTAGGAGGAAAATGGGCTGGCACAAGAATAATACTGACAAGCAACAAATAGCTGCATATCAAATTAAAGAGCTTCTGCACAGCAAAAGAAACAACCTATAGAGGGAAGAGATAACCTACAAAAATGGGAGAAAATTTTTGCTAGCTATTCCTCACACAGAGGACTAACATTTAGAATATATAAAGAACTCAAAAAAATTAGACCCCCCCCAAAAATAAAAGACCCAAACAAAAAATGGGCAGCCGAAATGAACAGACACTTCTCAGAAGAAGTACAAATAGCCAGTAGATACAGGAGGAAAATGGGCAAAGCCTCTGGGCAGGAATGAATAGGCTTCCTCTCCTCCCTGTGGTCTCTCCACAGACAGGAAGCATCATTCACCCCCATCCTGCCACTATGTTTTGGTAATGCCTACAGTCTAAACTCCTTAAGGCAAACAATGACATTGTGGGAAAGCAAAGCAGAGTCTCAATTTATCTTAAGCTTAGCTTCCTCATCCATAAAGCAGGGATAAAATAAAACCTATCTCACAGGGCTGAGAGAATTAAATGAGGCCCCTCACAAGCTTAACAGGGTGCCAGGCACATTACAGGTACTCAATAACTATCATATATTGAGATTGGCTCCCTGCTGACCCCTTGCAGCTTCATGTGTCAGCTGCAGGCTTTCTCCTTCCCCATAGCTCCAGGCACAATTCTAGCAACATTTAATTACAGTTTCCAAAAGTACCGCTTTCTCCAGTCTGGACCCTCACATATTAGCTTTTCTGCTTGAATCGCTTCCTGTCCTCAGCCAGGTCAAATCTCATATCCTGGCTAACATCTGTTTCTTTAGGTCTCAGGCTAGAAGTCATTTCTTCTCCACCTCAAGTTGGATTAGGTGTTTCCATAGCAGCGAGTGCTTACCTGCCTCACAGCACTTATTGCTCTACAATTGGCTATTTATATACCTGTAACCTTTGTAAGACTCTAGGGTCCTTAAGAACCAGAATTATGTTTTATTCAGAATTATACCTGAAATGTCAGAAGAATGCTTCATGTAAAAAGTTTAGTCAACATGCCCCTCTTTCTTGGTGGAATTCTGTTCTGTTTTTGAAGTACTGGGGATTAAACTCAGGGCCTTCACACTGAGCTATATCCCTAAACACTTTTTAATTTTAAATTTTATTTTGAGACAGGGTCTCACTAAATTGCTCAATTTCCCAGGCTGGGTCCAAATTTGTGATCCTCCTGCCTCAGCCTCCTAGCGTGCTGGGACTATGGAAATGTGCCACCACACCCAGCTTGGTAGAATGTTTGAATTCTGACTTGGCAATGTTTCAAAACTGACTGGGCAAGGGCCAGGGATTTAGCTCAGTTATTCCACCGCCTGCCTCACAAGTGAAAGGACCCGAGTTCGATCCCTAGTACCAAAAAACCAAAAAAAAACCAACAAAAAAACTGACTGGGCATATTTCTAAAAGTTCCTACTCACAATCCTAGGCAACTTACCTAGCACGCAGATACCCGTACCTTTCTAAGACAGTTCTTCACATCCCATTTCATATTCCCACCCCAAGCTCACACAACAAGTAGCTGAATCTTCTGAAGACAAAGGCCTGGAAGATGCTCAGTGAAATTACAAGGGCCCTTGCATCCCCCCTAGGGCCTGGAGGACACTCAAGGCCTGTGGAGAAATGCTCCTGCAGTCTCACCTGGTAGATATGGTTGAGTTTGAAGTGTTTGAGGAGCAGCAGGAGCAGAGCAGAGATACTCTTTACGATGATCTCCTTGTGCCTGTTCACATCAATGCCCAGCTTCATGCTCTGGAGAACAGTGATGCTACAATGGAGAGAGGAGTTGTCAGTAGAGAGGGTGGGCTTGGAGGGAGGCCTATGAGGACCCAAGTATTTGGGCCAGATATAAGGTACACAAAGAGTCAGAACTTAGGAAATCTGAACTTCTGTGCTAGGGAAACCTCTAGAGTTCCCACTTACAAACTTGCCTGGACAAAAACTCCACTGATCTCTTTGGCAAATTCGTCCCTTGGCAATGCCCACCCACATACCCAGAGAGCCAGTCACTACTGAGGTCACTCTCCAGACCCTGGGTTCTGAGCTAAACAGACCACAGTAGAGACCTCTGCAGGGAAAAGAGGGGTAGTGGTAGGAAAGGAGAGATCTCTGAAGACAATCCCCAAAAGTGTTAACAAGGGCTGGTGAGAAGGACAGGCCCTGCAGACAACACACTAGCATCCAGCAGTGCCCCAGTGGAAGCACTCACGGCATCTCCTCAGGTAGGACATCTGCCAGGATATTGATAGAGTCTGTTTTAGCCTTGGAGGTGGGAGCCGCGGCCAGGAGAATCTTAAGTAGAGCGATCTAAGAAGTAGAAACAGATTAAATGTACATCCCACTTAGGGAAGCAGAGATTCTTCCACACTTCATTAGCCCAGTGAAAAGTATTTGAAAGCCTTTTTCTAAGTTCTTCCATTAGTGACCAAATCTTTCCAGCACCCAGAAGTGCAAATAGGTGCCCAGTCCTGTGAGGGTAAGGAGGAGGTCAGAAGGAGCTCATAGGCTGTTTTGCTTCAAGATTGCTCTTTCCAAAGGGGAGGATGGAAGGAGCAGAATGGAAGGGGCAATACATACAAATAAGATGGGAGGGAAGTCCAATTTTCCCCATTTTTTTCTTCCTCTGACCCTGACCATCAGCACTGGTACTAGTCCCACACCACTACTATAGAGGACATGACAGACAACAGCAGATCTCAAAAGAACTCTGGTACTTACCTAGAAGGGCCCCCAATGCATCCTATATAGAACCCATTTTATTCTCTACCCCTCCCAAAGGACTAGGGAGAAGAGCACCTTCAGAGGAGCCCTAAGGAAAGCTCGGCCTCCTAATGCTTTGCTCAAGTGCTCACAGCTCAGGAAATAAGCTCAAACATTGGACAGTACAGCCTGAAGTGGCTCTTAGCTGCCTGTTCCTCGTAGCAGAGAAAGGCAGCTATTGCCCACCCATCTCCTTACCATGTACTGGGGGAGACTATACAGCATGCCCTGGTAGAGGATTTCACATGGTGTTTCTGGTACCACTTCTTCTCCCTATGGCAGGAAACACACAGTTTGTCCAGGCCACTTTTTTTTTTTTTTGGTACCAGGGATCGAACTCAGGACCTTGTGCTTGGAAGGCAGGCAATGGAACCACTGAGCTAAATCCCCAGCCCCCAGGCCACTTTTTAGGTGAGCAAAGACTTAATTTTCTCGGTTGTGAGGGATGGTATGAAAAGACACTAAGTTACAGGTCAGATCTAGGCTGCTATTCTAGTTGTGTTAGTGACTTAGTATATGACCTTGGATGGGTAACCTTCCTTCTCTGAGTCCTAGTTTTCTCTTCAGTAGGATAGAGGGATGGTCTGGATTATCTCTGAGGCCTCTTCCAGTCCCAATAATCTATGCTTCTAGTTTTCCTATCATCTGTAATTAATCCAGAATTACTCTTTCACATCACTGGATCAGGAGTTAGAACTCTCAACTAGAAGTTAGCTCAAACCACTGTTTTGTTGGACACATGCACAGGACCACCCTGGCTATACACATGGGTTTAACTCAGGCTACAGGTGTACCTGGGACACCGGAACACAGAGGCATTTCCCATGGTGTCAATCAGAGGTCAACAGAGAGCTCTAGAATTCTCTGAAAGCCATGAAAGAGAGGTAGGTGGCTCAATAGGGGGGGTTAGTTAGGAAACGAGGTAACCTATGGCCAGAGGGACAGGAAGGAGTATTAGCAAGGAAGCTTTTAGGTCAATAGAAACTATTTTCTTCCCATCTCCATTAACCCTGCCAACATCATTTTCTCCTTTCTGACCAGGCCCTATGGGGGACATGAGAATGTCTCTGTCCTCCATCCCTCTGCCCCCAGTACTGGGTATTAAACTCTGGGCATTTGCACTGAGCTACATCCATAGTCCTTTTTACTTTTCTTTTTGAGACAGGGTCATGCTAAACCATTTAGTTGTCCAAGCTGGGCTCAAATTTGCAGTCCTCCTGCCTTAGCCTTCCAGAATGCTGCTGCAGTTGCAGACATGTCCCACCACACCTGGCTGTCTCTGTCTTCTTGATGAGCCCCAACCAAGCAGGGGCCAGGGGTGTTCAAGAGGCTGATGAGACCTCATTGTCACCTTTGGCCAATGCAGTCCCTTACAGTAACTGGGCCTCTTCTATTCAGCAAGACTCAGCAGCTGCTTACATAGACACAAGTCTTAAAAGAGCATTCAGCAGAGCCTGGTGATGCAGGCATGTGTGTTTTCCTAAAAGACCTATTCCCTAAATTCCTCCTTCACCTCAAAACTAACTCCTTTGCCCCACAACCCCTCAACAGTTGCTGACCCTGACTCACATACTTTATGGAGGAAACAGAAGCAGACAGGTACCCCCATTTCTCTCTACCAGAGTCTCTGCCTGCCTAGTGGCATAAAGGATGATCTCCCTATTCTTTGAGGAAGGCACTCCACTTGGGCTCAGGATCCCACACCCTTTCACTCTGGATGCCATCAGCCCTGTAATTAGCCCCTCTCCTGAGTTGGACATAGAAATGCTCTGTTAACTCTCAGTTGTAAGTCACCCTACCTTGACCCCACATCCTCCTCCCTCAGCTACCATCTCATTTCTCTCTTCATCTTCCACCTTCCTTGTTGACATTCTTTCTCCACACACTTCAACTAGGCCTTCAGCCCTACTACTTCACTTGCTGTTGCTCTTACCAACATATTCATGTTGCAAATCCAGTGGGCATTCTTATCACATGCTATCCATCAATGCCATCTGACCCAGCTGATCACTCTCTTCTTGAAAGACTTGCTTAGCTTTTACATCAGTCTCCTGGATTTCCTCTAACTTTACTGAGTGTTTTTCTTATTCTTCTTTTCTGGCTCCTTTCCTGACTTATCCCATCCTCAATATACTGTGTTCCCGAGCACTTTGTCCTAGGTTCCATCCTCCTGTCTTTATTCCCCGCTGGGTTCTCTCAGGCACTTCTGTGACCTTTAACATTGTCTGGAGATCAACAACTCCCAAATGTCCTTAAGCCAGCCTTCTCCTGAGGACTTGAGACCTACATATCTAACTGCCTGGCAGCTCTGCACGAATATCTACTGAGCATCTAAAACTCAGTAGGACCAAAGTGAGACTCCTCATACTCCTCCCCACGCTGGCAGCTAGTACTTAGATTCTTTTTTGCCCGTTTGCCCACATCCAACTGAATTTTGAGTCTTGTCAGTTACACCTCCAAAATATAACTCAAATTCATCCACTTTTCCCTATTTTTACAATTACTACCTTAGTCCAGGTCACCTTGACTATTTCAAGATTGATCAGTGCTTATTTTCTGGTCCAATCTTTACACGGCAGCCAGTGGTTTTTTAAAAAATACATCAAATAAACTTTGTTACCGCTTAAAAAAATAAAATTTCTGCATTGTATTTACCATCCTCTGATAGCCTTGTTTACTTTCCTCCTCAGCTTTAAAATAGCATGAAATCAAGCACTGGTCTTGCCTGACACTCAGGAAGAGCCCAGTGGATTGAATCAATGCATGCACACATATCTGTGATGGCACTGCAAACAGAGTTCCTTCTTCCTTCCTCCTGGCTCACCAAAGACATGGGGCATTTTTCCAGCTCCTCTTCATTCTTGATCTGAACATCTGCGATGGAGATATACTTGTGCTGGTAAAGATAAGAAGACATCAACAGGACTAAGGGTCTTAGTCACATGTGTGACCAGTCTCTCAACTTCCTGATGAGGCAGTGTTCTGCTATGGATCTTTCACCCCAAATAGACATCAACTCTTTGAAGGCAGGAGTCTTATTCACCTCTACATCATCAGCATCAAGGAAAATACTTCTTCAACAGTGCTGCTGTGTAATATGTTTCCACATTTGTTGAACAGCAGCAAATATCTAAGCATTTACCTTCCAAGTACAAGGGAAAGCCAAGGACTTTGCCCTAACCACTAGCTGAGAGTTGTGATGCATGTGTTCGTATACACAGAGCAATGTCTTTGCACTCTGTGCTCACATACAATGGGTTTGGAGCAGACTTCCACTCAATCCTAGGCCTTTGAACATTAGTGGACCTATGGGCAGAGAGATGTGAAAGCAAAGGAAGCAAGAAGTGGGAAGCAAGAAATAAAAGGATGGACAGAGGGAAAAAGAATGAGAGCAACAAAGGAAAACTTTTTCAGCTATCTTGATTTTTCCTATTTGGTCAAAACCCAGGCCTGCAGGGGAAATTCAGAAGGTCCTCAATGTGTTTGGTAGAGGAGCTCCACTCAGTGTATCCAAGACCCTAGTAACCTGACTTGCCTTGATGTCTCCCTATTCATGAAGCCCACCCTGGTCACCTGCTTTAGGGTCTTCACACTCTCATGGATGGGTCTGGGCAATCCAACCAAGGTATCTGTGTCCCTGAGAAAGGCAGAAACATCAATCATGACCTTCAAAAGAGCAAAAAAATTACCCATGCACCCTGCAGTCACAGGGACCACACCACTTTGAGCATCTAAAAACTGGTACCCTGGGCCTTCCTCTGTAAGCCTCTAGGTCCCCCATCTTGCTTCAAGACACAAAAATAACAGTGATACACTGAAGTGTTACTGAAAATTACATTTGTAGTCTCTTTGGAGACTCACTTGGTCTGGGAGTGATAGGTTCCTACTGAAAAGAGTATGTAGGCCAATGACACTGTGATTGCCCAGACTGGCCTCAAACTCACAATCCTCCCACTTCAGCCTGCCCAGTAGCTAGGATTACAGTGTGTACCACTATGCCTAGCCCCAAAGAAGCTTTTGACAGTGAAAACCAAATAACAAAGCCTTCTACAATTTATAAAGGCTAGAGGGTAGAATTCATGAGGATAGAAAAATGGAAGAAGACTGGATCTGTTCTGGTCATGTCTCTTTTTTATCTAATCTAACATTCTTATGAGGAAACTGAGGCCTAAAAGGAAGTAACTTGTTCCTCAAGATCCTATTCTTGCCTCAAAAACAAAAGTTCTTTGAGGATATTGGAAGGAACTCAAGGAAAAAATTCCATGGAAAGAACCCAAAGTAGTCACTGTGGCCCTGTGGCTCTCAGTTGCACTACAACTACTTGACAACACTCCTCATTCCAAGCTACCTGCTCCTCTGGCCTCCTAGAATTACTTCACACCCTATTTTAACCATCCAATCACTTACTGCCCCAGGGTGAATCCGATGAACTTGTTCCTGCTCATTTCTAGGAAATGCTCAATGTCCTTCTGTCTGAGAGGATGATGGAGAGACCAACCATAGAGAAGGGAAGAAAAGCAAACCTTAATAGAGAAACTTTTCTGGACTTCTGCTCCTCTAAATGATGGACTGGAGGAATGGGGGAAGGTAGCAGTTAACAGAGGGAATGTTGAACCCAGGACTTGACTGCCAGCCCAGCTTAATGAGCACTGAAGACAAAGTGTATTTTATCATGGGGTTCAGTTGTTATTAAACCTACCTGACTTTTGGGGCCCAGGGCAAACCTTTGGGAAAGGTTACTCGCTCAGCAGAGATGGGTGCCTGTGAGGGTGGAGGTGGCACCAGAGGGTCCTGCTCTAGCAGGTCTAACTCTCCATCCAAGGTACGTTCTCCATCTCCTGGAGACTCCTCTTCCTCCTCTGTGGCTGGCTCCTCAGTTTTGAAGAGATCCCTTTCATTGTAGATATCCAGGCTGTCCTGCTTAGTGAGAAGTTGCTGGGGATGGGGGGAAGAAAGTATGCAGAGATCTCACCTTGGGCATCCTTGTCTGAAAATCCAGATCCTGTGAGACTATCCCATTTCCCATCCCAACTTTATAGCTCACAGTGGTCCCAATCCTCGGACAGGTAGAAATCTGGCAACCATGCCAATGGCCAGGGAACAGAACATAGATAATCCCAAAGCCATAGTTACTTAGGTTTCAGAAAGCACTGATGCCTTTTTTTTTGTCAGCATTTTCCTTCCTAATTATGATCTGTTTAGGTGAACATTCAATTAGTTTGCCTTCTGCAAGCATACGCCAGCTGGCTGACTGAGGAAGAGGAGGACAGAAGATTGCTGCTAGGCAAAGGGAAACGAGTTTTGAATTTTAAATCTTGTTGCAGAAAGAAAAACAGATTAGACAGAAATAGGCCAAAAAGTTAACAGCCACTGCTTCTGGTTGTTAAGACTGTGGGTGATTTTTCTTTCCTCCCTTCATCAGATATTTGTATTTGTTCCAAATTTTCTACAATGAGTAAGCATTACTTTATAAAACAAAACAAAACAAAAATGGTTTAAAAATCACACTGCATATAATGTAGACTGGATTTTTTTTTTTTTTGGTACCAGGGATCAAACTCAGGACCTGGCGCTTCCAAGGCAGACGCCGTGCCACTGAGCCAAATCCCCCACCCTAGACTGGATTATTGAGCATGACTGTCTGGTCTTGTCACCTTTAGTTGGTGAACTCAGTAAGGCCAGGCAAGTGAGTTCACTGGAACATGGCCAGATCTCAGTTTTACTTATTCTGACTTTTTTAGAACTGCAACCTATACCTAGAACCTTAAGCAGTTATCTTTTAAACGTAAGCTTGTGGTTCCTGGGCCAGATGAGTGTGGCTCAAAGTAAACCCTGCTGACAGGAAAGTGGTAAAGTGTCACACCCTAGGGCCATGGAATTGCTGGGAGCCCCATTCCCAAGATTCTACCCTGATTTTCAGATGTTCACACCAATGACCCTGAAGAAGACAAGGCTATATCATGTGATATCATAGTGTCCCATCAGGACAGCTCAGGAGCCTGTCAGGCTGAAGGACCACAGTTCAAAGATTTCAGGCTGGTCACAGGACCATCCTGGGTCAGAACAGGCCAACTTGTTTACTTCCCTTTCCTATGATATCTTGAGTAGCTTAAAATCTTGATTTTTGCTCAGCCAGTGTCATACCAGTCTGTGTTAGCCCATACCCTTCGAGAACCACGGCGGCTTCGTAGCTTGGAGGGTGGTGGTGCCAGCTGAGACTCTCCCAAGTCAAGAGTGTAAGAGGGCGGGGAGGCGGCACGCATGCTCTTCACCACCTGGATACTGTCCTCCGCCAGGGGAGGCAGGCCCAAGTCTGCCCGCTTCTGTATTTTGAGAGTTTGCAGATGCCCAAATCCACCCAGGGTAAACTAAAAGGGAAAAGGAAAGGGGCAGAGAAGAATGAGGAAGGGAGGGTAGTCAGATACAGCAAGGTAGAGAAACATGGCTAGGAAAAAAGAACTCCGACCTTTAGGCTTCTCAGATTCCCTCTGGAATAAGGAAGCAAAAGACCAGGAAGGGGCAAATGTGGATACCATCCCAGGCTGAGGGACTAGGGGTCAAAATAAACTATTTTTCATTTACTGACCCAGAGCTCGAAACATCACAAGTTAGAAAAGGGACTTGTGAGGCCTCCACTGAACGAAACAGGAAATGATCTCCCTTTTTAAGGGGCACATCCAGATACTATGAACCCCCAGAGTCACTCAATTTCCTCTGCAATGAAGACAGTTTCCCCCTGTGAGGCTGGCCTGGAGGGCTTGTTGTACAACCAGAGATGGTGGATCAGGCTGAATAAGTAACAAAACTGTAACTAAATATTTATAAGGACTATGTATGTATGTATGTACTTTTGGTTATTTTTTTTTTTGTGGTACTGGGGATCAAACTCAGGACCTTGCACTTGTGAGGCAGGTGGCACCACTGAGCTAAATCCCTGGTCCTATGTACTTTTGGGTTTTAAACAGGATCTCACTGTATAGCCCAGGCTGGCCTCAATCCTGTGGTGGTCCTCCTCCCCAGCCTCCCAAGTGTTGTGATTATAGGCACCACCACATCCAGCTGACTTTCTTTTTTACAAAACAAATCCACTCTTTATATGGAAAGAGGACAAGCACTAACCCTAACATTTTATAGCTAGATAACTGAGGCAGAGTTGCCCAATATTCCTCAGTATCAGCAGAAGATCTAAATTTCAGCCAGCGTTCTTTCCATGAGTCATCAGCTCTATCAGGGGAGGGTGCCACTGACACCTGGACTCATGGAATAGCATCTCCCACCTGTCAAAGAGAGAAACCTGCTCTGACCCATGGTCTTGTTGCCCCACTTTGTCACCGGCTGGCTAGCAGCTGCCCTATTCTGCTGCCTGCCATCAGTTCTTGGAGTTGGAACAGAAAAAACTGAGGTGGGGTGGGGTGTTGCTGATCTGATCAGATGGGAATAGGAAGGCTCAGCCACTCACCATGACCACCTTCCAGAGCAGAAGCAGGACCTTCTTTATAGGAAAGTGGGGGGCCAGGCCACTGCAGAACTTGGTAACCATAGAGAAGAGCAAAAGGGCAAAAGGCTCCTCATTATGCATGGAGAAGCCTGAGGGTGTAAAGAGAGGCAACTGAGAAAGTGAGGGTGAAGTAGTCAAAACCCTGCTTCTGCATCCCTGAGTCTGGACACACTGAGAAAGGCACTCAGCTCCCCTGAAGAAATTTAGAGTAGCTGGTCCTGAAAAATGAGGCTTAGTAAGCGCCCAGAGCAAAGCCCCTCAAAGGCAGAAAAGGAGGCTATTGAGGTAAAATGGCTTGGCTCTCAGAGCTTAGGTGATGCTTTGGGTGTGGACACCAAACTAGAAGTAATAGGAATGAAGATGGTGCTTTTTAGCTAAGGCACTCAAGGTATTTTGTGGACCACAGTTCCCTTTGCCACATCAATCAATATATTTTAAAAATCCAGTAGGCCTTCATATATTATTCCTCTTAAATGACCACACCGATTTACATTTGAACACAGCTCAATTTTCAAGGTGATTTAACTCATTTTTTGGTGTGGTATTTTGTGATGGAATGGGAGAGGGATGGCTATCCTCATTTGTAACCAAGGAAACCAAAGCATAGAAAAGTTTTATGATTGGTCCTAGCTTGTAAGATACAGGCCCTAGCTCATAGCCCAACCCTTGTGCCTGCCACGCAATATCTCCTAAAAAAAGGATGTTAACTTTTTTAAAAAGGAAAAAAAGGACTATCTTTTTCTCCTAGGCAGATCTTGTGCTTTCCCTCCACCATTAGCATGCTATCCCCACCTTCTCAAGTGCCACACTTCTTACTCAGTTCAGTTCGGAAGGTCTCCCGGGCTGTCCTCCATCCACAGGGGTCTGTCTCTCGCTCCAAGCGGATATTTTCCACCATTAGGTACACAACACTCAGCAATACCCTGAGGTTACAAAAGTGTCACAAGAGGTTCCCAGCCCAGCTAGTAGCATAGACCTCAGGGATGATCTCAGTGGGAGCCCAAACCAGTGAGATTAGATAGAGGGCAACATCCTAGTGGTCTGGGATTTGAGGAAAGGGTAACCCAGTGCTAATCAGCCCCCTCCTGAGCCCTTAGTCAGCCCTACTCACCGGAGCTCCGTGCTATCAGCAATGGAGACAGCTGGTTTCCGAAGGGCACTGCTACAGGCCTGACTATTGCTGCCATGGGGAGGAAGGAGAGAATGGGAACCCTCAGAGCCTCTTTTCTCCCACCTAACATACACACAAACATGAACATCTGCCATTGCCTGGCTATGTAGCAACTAATGAAATTGCTTTATGGTAAAGGAGCCCATAGAGAATTCCTTTGCCACCTCAGTAAACTCTCATCTGTGGTGAAGACAGGCAAGGACAGAGTCTGTGCTTTCCATTCCTCTTGTGATCCCCACTATGCCCAGTACTGTGCTAGACATAAAACAGATGCAAAGCAATACCTGATGATCAGTAAGTAGATTTCACCCTATCTAAAATTCCTGGGTGAAAAGAATGAGATAAAATGAGGGGTCACTGTAGTAGCAGCAGGTGAGGCTACCTCTTGATCTATAACCCATGAGCGAAAGATCTGTGTACAATGATAGGAATTATTCTTGCTTTCTTGGGTCATGCTTATGAAAGTAGCTTAGTTTCCTTTATGGATTCCAGAGTTAGGCTAAGCTATGAGGGGACTTGGATAAAAAAAGGAACCCAACAATGACAGGCCCCTGAAGCCTAGGACTGAAGCTATAATTAGAACAGAAGCTGCTGCTGAACCCAACCTCAGGGAGGAGGACAGGATATCAGGAGACTTGGCTGGATGGAAGGGAACTGTCACTGAGCTGAGGTGCGCATAGACCCAGCTCCCCAAGGGTCTCTATGGAGGAAACCAACATAGAACATGAGGCCCTTCAAGGAAGAGGGTTGCCTAGGTCAGGCCTCCCCTAAGACTTCTCACTCGATTTCCATGTGGAGTAGCTCCAGGAAGGCCGAGAACGTCCCCATCTGATAGAGCAGGAAGCAGTTGTACCTGGACCAGTGTAGCACATCGACCTCTGAATCACATTCCCCAAAAGTGCCTAAAGGACCAGACAGTTGCCAGAGGAGTTGAGGAGGGCAGGAATTCAGTCTTTCCACCTTGCCCCATGATCTTAAGACTTTCCTCTAAGACCATGCCCAACAATTAGGCTGGGAGAGATAGGGCAGTATCTCTGAGCACTCCCTTCAATGAGATGAGGAGAAAGGAGGGTAGTCACTAGGGTTAGGTCCAATGTATTCTTTAATGGCCTGTCTTAAGTTTGGGGTCCCCCAAAAGTAGATTCTGAAATAAGTAAGGATTCAAGTACAAGTAGTTTATTTGGGAATTCATCAGTGGAGAAGTAGTAAAGTAAGATAGGGAAAACATGGCAATCAAGAGTTCAATCCCAAGGGGAAGCTGTACAAATGATATAAAATACACAACTTAGTTACCCTACCCAGAGGGGTGAGATATTCAGGCTATTTATCAATTCACTCTTGCTAGTCATTTTATGAGGACTGCGGGACTCAGGGAGTACATTAATTCTCTACACTTCCTGATTACCCTTTGTGGGCTGCAGAGAAAGCCCCTGTACAAAAAGACCTTAGTACTGGCAACTGGAAGTCAGCCAGGGTACCAGATCCAAGAGATAGGGGTGGCATCACCTTATTTTCTGTAGTCTTCCTTTCACCCAATGTCTACTCTATCTCTTCTCCATTTATTTTTTTCTTTTATAATTTTTTAGCTCCCAGCTAGTTGGTTTGCCAACAATCCTCCTGTTTATGATGTCAGGATATATTTTCACTTCTCCTGTTAGCCCATGTAATTTTGCTTTCTAACACCTGGCTAATAGGTCTCTTCTGGGAAGCCATCCCCAACTAATCTTATTTAGTTGTGATCATCTCCAAATTACTCACAGCATCCCCTCCTGCTGCTCTTTTGGCTTGAACCTTTAAAATGCCAATTAAAAACCATGCAGAAGGGCCTTATGTGAGTCAATGACACAACCCTATCTCCCCTCAGTGTGGAGGCTAGCTCACTGCTGATGAAAGAGTTCTCCATGCTCAGCTGACAATACAGCTTCATCTCTGATCACACTGACTTTCTTGCTAATCTTCACATATATGCCTGTATCCCAGGTTAGAGGAAAAAGATCTCCATAAGAAATCCTGGTGGCGCACGCCTGTAGTCCCAGCACTCGAGAGTCTGAGGCAGAGGATTGGCATGAGTTCAAGGCCAGCCTGGGCTACATAGTGAATTCAAGGACATCCGGAACTACACAGCGAAACCCTGTCTCAAAAAAACACAACACAACAAAACAAAACAAATCCTGGGCTAGAGATTTAGCTCAGTGGTGCTACCACCTACCTCGCAAGCGCAAGGTTCCAAGTTCAATCCCTGGTACAAAAAAAAAAAAAAAAATCCTGGCATGCCTAAGATAAAGGTAGGACCCAAGGGATTCAGAACAGTATCTGACTCTATCTCTTTTTCTTCCTCATAAGCATAGATTGCTGCTAGCACATTAGATGTGTCCCTTTTTTTTTTGTACTCAGTTAATACTATCTTTCTTTTTTTTTTTTTTACATTAGATGTGTCCTTGAGGGGCAGGGAACCTTGCTATCATGGAACAGCCTGTCTCCTCTCACTTCCCTTCCCAGTCTCTACCCCTCTCAAGCTGGCAAGTGTAGTAACTCACCTTGGGCCAGGTAGAGAACAGCTCGGGCCACCTTCAGGCGCTGCTCCCTACTAACCACCTCCAGCCGGTCCAGGAGTCCCATCACATAGGCCTTTTGGGCATCTTCTTCCAATTCCAGCCATTCCTTGCCTTGCACTAGGGATAGAAGGCCATGTATATCTAATGTTGGCTACTGCCACCTCTTCCTGGAAAGACTCCTAATATCATATCTACCATTGATCTCAGCCCTCAATAAATACTTTTCTCCAAACGATTTCCTAGCCAGGCATGGTAGCACATGCCTATAATCCCAGCACTCTGGGAGGCTAAGGCAGGAGGATCAAAAGTTTGAGCCTGGCCTGGGCAACTTCGTGAGATCCTGTCTCAAAATAAAAAAATATAGGAGGGCTGGGGATTTAGCTCAGTGGTTTCGCCGCCTGCTGCACAAGAGCAAGGACCCAAGTTCGATCCCTGGTACCAAAAAAAAAAAAAAATATATATATACACACACACACACACACACACACACACATACACACACATACATATACATATATAAATGGCTGAGCTGTGGCTTAGAAGGTCCTGGGTTCAATTTGTAGTACCAAAAAAAAAAAGATTTCCTTATTTTAAAATTTTTTTACAGTGCTGAGGATCAAACCGAGGACCCTCAACCCAAAGCTTCCTTTATTTAGCTGAGAAAGAATAAGGAGAGGTAAAAAGATCCAAAATATTCTGGCCTGAACTTACTCTGTAGCTTCATATTCAACATTCCTTCTATTCTCCATACCAGCTTATTCTGTCCTCTCGCTGCCTTTCCTCAGAATTCCTGTCTCCATCCACATCCTGGTCACCTGGCAGGCACAATACAAAATAACCTCTTCCACACTAATGCCTCAGCTGAAAGCTCTGTTCCTGATATACTTTCTTTACTTTTCTATGACCCTTCACATTTTCCTCTTGCCCTTAGCTAGCTTTGTGATGTGCATATCTCCCTATTGCTACCAGACTATAACCTTTGTAAGAAGCTACAAATTTACCTTCATCTCTGCTTCCCGCATCTCTGACACAACAGATATTCGCCACACATTTGTTGAACTTAGTAGTGAATTGCCATTGATCAAATAAGGAAATGGAAATCTGAGGGTATCACAGTGTGGGCACATAAAATTGCTACTGAGAGCGGGCCAGGATTAGGAGCAGGGGTTAAACATTCATTTCAAGGACTCGGGTTCCATGAAGCAGCAGGCATTAGCCCAGCCTAGCCTCACCATTCTTCTGCCTTTTTTTTTTTTTTGGTACTGGGGATCGAACTCCAGTCCTTGCACTTTTGGGGCAGGTGGCAGAACCACTGAGATAAATCCTCAGCCCCATTTTTCTGCCTTTTGGCCCTTTACACCAGGGAAAGAGGCTCAGCTCAGATTTCTCTTGCTATCACCCCAAGCCCTCTCCACTTGAGATCAGAGAACCCCATATCACATGCAGAAGAAGGAAAGCGAATATGGCCATGGAGGATCATACTTTGTTGGCCTTTTACTGGATCAGACTGGGACATTATGGAGGGAGAAAGCATATCTCTATGAGCAAGGATCTGGGATCACCTTGAGTCTTGAAATCTTCTTCAAAGCACCTCCTGTTAGCAGTGAATTCCAAGTTCTCAGTGTAGCTGTACAATTCTGTGGCAAGAAAGAACAAAGTCATTCAGGAGACCCCTAGTAGTAGCCTGGGGTGGAAAGGGTTGCATACAAGAGCTGAAGCTTCCAACACATTCCTATGTCCAATTCAATCCAGAGCCAGCTTCCTCCCTTTCAGAGCACTTAAAAATAGCCATTTGTGTCCCTGGGTGATTAAACCATAAACCTGTCCTCCTCCTGCCAGCTGGCTGCTGCAGCAGAGAAGGCAGCTCTCGACATTTGGTGAGGGCCAGGAGGAAGGTTGGAGCAGAGGGCTTAATGTTATCACTCCTGTTTCTCATATCTGTAACCCATTCTGCTCTGTTACCTCAGACTGGAACTCTTCTATCTCTAGGAAAGAGGAAAACACAGCTCCTGAAATTTAGAGGTAATATATGCATGCTATTCAGGAAGCCAACGGAAAGGCTGCAAAAATACACACTAGATTGCTCTTTAGCATTGAAGGAAGCAGTTCACTCTCTCCCTGCTGAGTTTCCTCGAAGGGTATGGAAGTTTATGTTCCTGCCCACAGCCACCTGGGCAGAGGCAGCATCAAATGATGTAGAAAGCAGCCATGGTTGCTAAAGGGCTGCTTGTGCCCAGAAAACTCTTAACTTCATTGACAATAGACTCTAAATACAAAATGCAGGTTTGAGAATAAAAATGCCCCCTCCAAATCCAGAACATTCTACTGTACCCTCATCTTACAGAAGATAAAGAACTGAAATTGAAAAGTTAATAGGTGATAGAACAGATTTCCTCAAAATCTCTATTCTTCCTAGTTGGAGATAATTCACAAAGGAAGAGAAATTAACTTTCATTCCAGACAGCTGTCTAGTGGCTGAAGAACACCTGGTCTGGGAGCCAGAGTTTTTGAGCCCAGTTCCAGAATCTGGAAGTGACCAGAAGAAAACCCTAACTCTGAATTTTAAATACTTCAGTTCATAGTGATAAATGTGGTAAATATAATTTCTATATTTATTTTTTGAGCCAGAGTCTATATTGCTTAAGCCAGTTTTGAACTCCTGGGTTTCCTCCTACTTTAACCTCCCAAGTATCTGGGACTATAAGGCATGTGCCACAGCACCTGGAAAAATTCTTCCTTTTTTTAAAATAGTGGTACTGGGGATGGAACTCAGGACCTCACGCATGTTAGTTAAGCACTCTATCACTCTACCATTGAGCTACACCCCCAGTCCTTAATATATATTTTTAAGAGTAGGGCCAGGGATTTAGCTCAGTGGCACCATGCCTGCCTCACAAGCACAAGGTCCTGAGTTTGATCCCCACTATTAAAAAAAAAAAAAAGTAGAGCACCACTAGCCAAGTGTGGTGCATGGTACCTGACTGTAATCTCCGCTACTGGGGAGGGTAAAGCAGAAGGATGGCAAGTTAAGAGTTCAGCCTGGGTAACTCAGAAAGATCCTGTCTCAAAATATAAAGAGAGAGGGCAGGGGATTTAGCTCAGCGGTTTCGCCGCCTGCTGCACAAGCGCAAGGACCTGAGTTCGATCTTCGGTACAAAAAAAAAAAAATATATATATATATATATATAGAGAGAGAGAGAGAGAGAGAGAGAGAGAGAGAGAGAGAAATATGTAGCTCAGTGGTCGAGTGCTTGTGTAGCATACCAGAGGCCCTGGGTTCAATTCCCAGTAGTATCAGGGCCGGGGGGAGAAGACAGACAGAGACAAGTCAGTCCACCAGAAGTCCAGCTGCAAAAGTCCAGCTGCAAAACCTGTCTATGGCCATACCACACTGAACATACCAGATCCGGTCTGATCTTTGAAACTAAGCAGGGTTAGGCCTGGTTAGTACTTAGAGGAGAAAAAAGTGAGCAAGGGCTTTAGGTATTGAACTTTTTGCCTTGTTCTTATTTTTTGATTTTAGACAATGAAATTTCATATAAAGAGAATACATTTAAGACATCCATGTGTCTTTTACCCAGATTAAAGAAATGCTAACACAGTATCTGTCATATTTGTTTCAGACAATACCCAAGTCTAACTTACTCCCTTCTCTAGAAGTAACCACTATAATGAAATTGGTGTATTCTTCACATGCCCATTTTTATACTTCTACTATGTATGTATGTGTCTATAAACAGCACATAATATTAGTTTTTCTTTTTCTTTTTTTTTTGGTACCGGGGATTGAACTCGGGTCCTTATGCTTGCGTAGCAGGTGGTGAAACCACTGAGCTAAAACCCTGGCCCATATAATATTAGTTTTTAAAGTTTTTACCCAAATTCCCTATGATGAATGGTATCATTATGTATACCTAAAATGTACAAATGTTTTGCTTAAAAAAAAAAGTTTTGGGCCAGGGATTTAGCTCAGTGGTTCCGCTGCCTGCCTCACAAGTGCAAGATCCTGAGTTCGATCCCCGGTACCAGGGAAAAAAAAGTTTTTATCTAAACAGTATCATATTGCATAAATTCTTTTGTCATTGATTTTACTTTTGGCATTATCGATATAGAAGCATGTTGATTTAGGTCAATTATATTAATGGCTATACACTAACTTACTATACTAATACACTACAATTTATCCATTCCCCTACTGCGGGCATTTTAGGTTGTTTTCAGTTTTTCACAATTATAAACAAGGGCATAATAAACATCTTTGTACATTTTCTTGTGTTCAAGTGGAGGTTCTCCAGAGTGTACATCTAGGAGGAGAATTACTTGGTCATAATATGTGCACATCTTCAATGTTATTAGACATTACCTAACTGCTTTCCAATTTTATACTCTGCTCCCCCATACTGCTATACATAGCAGTGTAGAAAAGTGCTCATTTCTCTAAACTCTCACCAACTCCAGTCTTTGAAGTTTTGCAATCAGATGACTGGGAAATAATATCTTGTTATTTTAATTTGCTTTCCCCCATTTATTAATGAAGTTGACTCTCTTGTATGTATGTATGTATGTATGTATGTGTGTGGTACTGAGGGTTGGAATGTCCTCATTCAGGTTAGGCAAGTACTTTACTAGTAAGCTATGCCTCAGATCCATTTATATTCATATTCTGGATTCTAATCTTTTGTTCATGATTCAGCTTAGCTTTCTATTTCTCTGTCACTCATCACAAAATTTATTCCCTGTGCTTATTCACAAGAACTTTTTTAAAAAAGTGTCTTTTTTCTCTGAAAAAGCATGTCTCAAAGTGTCACTTCCATGTGACAGAATATTTAACTTTCATACCATCTCCATCCAAAAGTCGTTTATTAATAACTATCAGTCATAGCACGTGTAACATGGAGGCCTTGAATCACATTTACCCTAAGCTAAAAATCAAGACAAAGAGAGGGGCCCAGAATGGAAAGACAAATGAGATCAGTTATCCCTGACTCACAAACATCCACTATGACTGATGCAGGTGACATGTCCAGCCTTGTTTAGCTGCCTAATTGTCTATAGAGTTTTCCTCAGACATTGCTGAGATTTTAATAAGGGGTAGTTGTCAGGAGAAGGGGAAAGATGGAGGTAGAGGAGAAAAAGGACAGAAAGATAGGATGGGATAAAAAGAAGGTGACAGAAAGAATGGGCGTGCAAAGACATTGGTGAAGGAAGAAGAGAGAGGTGAGTAATAGGGAGAAGGTGAAAAGAAAACTGACCTCAGAATATACTAAAAGAAAATAAAGGGTAGGCAGGAAAGAGCAGTAGAGTGACAGAATAAATAATATTAGAGCCAAGGAAGAATTTACAGAAGGAAATATGAAAACAAACAAAAAGATATTGACCACTGGTGGGCAGAGAGCAAAAAGGATCGTGAAGAAAAGCCTTCATTCAACAGCCACCTGCTGAGACCAGAGAAGATGCCAGAGGAGATCATAGGCCCCTTCCTGGCTATTCCTCCACTTTCCTCCAATCCATCTTCTTCATACCTGATAATTCTGCTGCATGCCCATCTGTATCTCCATACTCAAATTCCAGAGTTGGGCAGTCCACAGAGCCCTGTAAGACAGAAATTCTTCAGGTAACTGAGGTAACTTGAAAAGGGGTTGCCAAAGGAAAAGTATACCTTTATTTCATCTGCTCTTGGAGACCAAGCTTAGATCAGGGAGGCAGCTAGAAAGTCTCATTTGGCCTTTTATTCAGTCAGGGAGGGGCTGAGAACTTCCATATAGAATCAGAAAGTCTAGGTGAGGAATAGGATTGTGAGCAGATCTGAAAGCTATAATCTGTCTCCATATCTAATCTACATATGCACAGACCAGAGGAGCTGATATCTAGAAAAATGAGATGGACAAAAACAAGAGAAAAACTGGAAGAGAACTGAACTATAGCCTCATTTCTGTCATTAACACACTATGTCTCATGCTGTGGATCACAGTTCCTTATTTACAAAAGGAGATTCTTTAATTCTAATATTTTACAACTTGAGAATTGTCAAATAAGGCAGCATCTCCATTCCAAGTTGCATTAAAAGCTACATTTCCTATGATGTTCCTTATATAATCCTATTAAAAATATTTTTAATATGATCCTGTCTCCACACCTCCTTAAGCTTTTTTTTGGGGGGGGGGGTACTAGGGATCGAACTTGGGACCTTGTGCTTGCAAGGCAGGCAGCAGCACCACTGAGCTAAATACCCAGCCCCTCCTTAAGCTTTTGAGAGGGTATTTCCTTCTAGTATATATTATAAGAATTTAAAGCCAGGCGTGGTGGTGCATGCTTCTAGTCCCAGAACTCTGGGAGGCTGGGGCAAGATAATCACAAGTTTGAGCCCTGTCTGAATAGCTTAATGGGTTAGTGAGATCCTGTCTCAAAGTAAAAATATTAAAAAAGGTCGGAGAAGGTGGCTACAGCGAGGCCGGGAGACAGCCTGAGGACCGGAGCTTTTAGGCTTGTCAACACTGCAGGAATGGCAGAGTTTGGGGTCTCAGCAGGCCAGCTGGTGGCAGTGATCTGGGATAAGTCAGGCCCTGTGGAAGCCCTGAAAGATCTGGTGGATAAACTGCAAGGGTTAACTGGCAGTGAGGACTGAGTATCTGTGGAAAACATCAACCAGCTGCTGCAGTCTGCCCACAAGGAATCCAGCTTCGACATTATTTTGTCGGGGGTAATCCCAGGAAGCACTACTCTGCATAGTCCTGAGGTTTTGGCAGAGATGGCCCGGATCCTTCGGCCTGGCAGGTGCCTTTTTCTGAAAGAACCAGTAGAGACAGTTGTAGCTAACAATAGCAAAGTGAAGACGGCATCTAAATTGTGTTCAGCCCTGACTCTGTCTGGTCTTGTGGAAGTGAAAGAGCTGCAGAGGGACCTCTTGAGCCCTGAGGAGATGCAGTCTGCCCAGGAACACCTGAGTTACAACAGCGACAGTCTGCTGTCTGTTCAGATCACAGGCAAAAAGCCCAACTTTGAAGTGGGTTCTTCTAGTCAGCTCAAACTTTCCATCACCAAGAAGGCATCTCCTTCAGTGAAACCTGCTGTGGATCCTGCTGCTGCTAAGCTCCGGACCCTCTCAGCCAATGACACAGAGGATGATAGCATGGATCTCATTGACTCAGATGAGCTGCTGGATCCAGATTTGAAAAAGCCTGATCCTGCTTCCCTGCGGGCTGCTTCCTGCGGAGAGGGGAAAAAGAGGAAGCCCTGCAAGAACTGCACCTGTGGCCTTGCAGAAGAACTGGAGAAGGAGAAGTCAGAGGCCCAGAAGAGCTCGCAGCCCAAGTCAGCCTGCAGAAATTGCTACTTGGGCGATACATTCCGCTGCGCCAGCTGCCCCTACCTAGGGATGCCAGCCTTCAAGCCCGGGCAGAAGGTGCTCCTGAGCAATAGCAACCTGCACGATGCCTAGGAGGGCCCCTGCAGCCAAGTCTGCTCCTCTGAAGCTTCTCCTGATCCTCTCCTCCTGCCTCCTGTGGACTCATTCTCTCCGTTGGAAATCTCTGAAATCATTTTTGGGGAGTCGCTTGTTGACAGAGGGAGGCTGGCTGCGGTGCAGTGGTGTTAGTGCTGCTGTCTCCCAAAAGACCAAGGCATGGCAGAGGCTGGTTCCCCGCAGCAGCCCCTGCCTCCTCACTGAGTGTTAGGACCTCATGATAAAGCACTGACCATGCTCTCTTGAGCCCAGGTATCCTTGAGTATTTATGGCCCGAAGCTCAGTGACGCTGCCATCTACTTGTCCTTCCAAGTCGGTGGGGCATTCAGTACACACTCTTGGTGAGTTAACTGTCTCATGACCTCGGGGCACCAAAGGGGTCACTTGCTTGTTACTGTGATCCCATCCTGCGTCCCTCTGTCCTTTTCCACCCATGTGTCTGTTGTCATTTCTGTTCACCAACAGGTGTTACACTTGCACACTAATAAGAGGGGTGTGTAGGTGCATGTGGTATCCATGTATCATCTATGCTCTGCCTGGACTGGGAAACGCTCTTTTTGGAGGAATTTGGTGGCCTGAACAGTGGGGCCAGTGCTGTACTTGCGATGAGCACCTCTTCCTCTGAGAGGAGTACAGGTTGGGGAGAAGCAGGGAAGACTGACCCAACAGCACTCTGTGTTTTTGCTGTGCAACCACAGACCCAGAACCGATCTTGCCAAATACTTGGAGAGATCATGTGGGTTTAAGAGACCTGGATTTTTGTTTCACCAATAAATAAGTGTTAATTGGTAAAAAAAAAACCAACAAAAAACGGTCTGGGAGGGGGATATAACTTAGTGGGAAGGCCCTGGGCTCAATCTCCAGTACCATCACACACACACACACACTTTAAACTCTGAATCTCAGCTCTGTCATACAGTATGTTTTAACTGTCATACATGGACAAGTCAACCTCTCTGTGGTTCAGTGTGGTATAAAAAAGATATTTGGTCTTTGCCCTTGGTTCCTGGTACAGAGCTCCTAAAAACTTAGAACTTCCTACTAGGACTATATGTTATTCACAATGAGCCCCTGTCAACCATAGCAGAACTGATGCTAATGAGGTAACTCATGGTGGGCCCTTTGACAGTTTCAAGGGAGGGACAGGCCCTGCCAGAAAAAGCAAACTTGTATTCTGACTGATACTACTCCTACCTGGGAGGGGGAGGGAGGACTACAGATTGGGTTAAGTCACATGATCAATGGCTTAATCATGCCTAGGTAAGAAACGCCATATGAAAACAAGTACTTGGGCAGCTTTGGGGCTGGTGAAAAAACAGATGTGCTAGAAAGATGGTGTCACTTTAGTCCCCTACCTTGGTCCTATGCATCTTTTCCATTTGGCTGTTTCCGAATTGTATCCTTTATAAATATAAATAAATAAATAAATATATATATATATAAATTCATTCCTGAGTTCTGTAGGTCATTCTAGCAAATTATCAAATCTGAAAAGGGAGAGGTCATGGTAACCCCTGAATTTGTAGTTGGCTAGGTGAAAATGTGCATAACCTGGAGTCTCCATTTGTAGTTGTATCTAATGTGGAGGCAGCTTTGTGAGACCGAGCACTTAATTTGTGGGGAGTAGACTGTGTGCTAACTCTGGATGGTTAGTGTTAGAACTGAGTTGAACTATAAGACATCTAGTTGGTACGAGAAAATTGTTGAAAAATGATGTTCAGTTTCTCATCTGTAAAATAAAGGTAATAATAGAATTTATTTACCGGGTCATTATAAGGACTAAAGGAATTAATAGGAAAGGAACTTAGCATACTTTTACTTTAACCTAGCATTTGGTAACAGTATATGAGTGGTTACTCTACTTAATTAAAATTTTTTAAAATAAGGGCATTTTTTTCCTATATTATTATGAACTTCACTTTCAATGGTTATATAACTGGATGGATATCTATTTGTTTACTTAACCAATTCTCTATTATTGAACATTTAAGATATTTTAAATTTTTCTTTATTATATACATAAAGCTATAATACTTATAATTTTTCATATATAATTTTTCATTTTGGATCTTTTTCTAAGGATAGATTTTATTTTTTTATTATTTTTAAAATTTATTTATTTTGGGACAGGGTCTTGCTATATAGTGCAGGCTGGCCTTGAACTCACAGCAACCCTCCTGCCTCAGCCTATCAAGTGCTGAGATTACAGGCATGTGCCACTATGCCTGGCAGGATAGATTTTTATAAAGAAAATTAATGTATTAAATCTTATTAATATTTTATTGCTCTTTGTACACAAGTTATTTCCCAAAGCCACTGTACCAATTTATACTGCCAACAAAGCAAATCATGTTTAAATCTACTAGAGCAAGATTTACAAACAAAGGTTTGCCTTTGGATTATAGGGACCAATGGGGGAAAAAAAGGTAGTGGGTAAGAAATTATATAGGTTTGTGGATGTTTCATTTTGGTAAGTAGGGACTTGAGTTAAAAAAAATACTATATATACATATGGAGAGACAGAGGAGAATGAGCAGTTTAATACTCAAAACTGGGAAGAATTCAATCTGAGAATAAAGGACAATCATTAAAAGCTGGTTTTCACCAAGTACAGTGGCATGACTGTGATCTCAGCTACTTGGGAGGCTGAGAGAGGAGGATCACAAATTTGAGCTCAGCCTGGGAAACCTAAAATAAAAAAAAAATAGTGAAGACATAGCTTACTTGCCTAGCATATTCAGGTCCTGGGTTCAATCCCCAGTGTGGGGGAGGAGAGTTTAACATACTGTAGAAAAATGATAAATACCTTTTATATCATGTCCCAACATACACATACTCATGTACACATACACACACACACACACACACACACACACACAGGACAACTAAAATTTAACAAAATATTTTCCCTTATTATATGTGATCCACTGATACTCTTTTTTTTGTTTTTCTTTTGGTGTGGTGCTAGAAATTGAAAATGGGGGCTCACACACGCTGAGCAAGGGCTCTACCACTGACACACCCTCAGCCTCCTTCCTTTTTTATTATATAGGTAACTAATATATTAAATTATATAACATCATATTTATATATATAGTTTTTGAGACAGGATTCTGGTAAGTTACCTAGGATGATCTTGAACTCGCAATTCTTTTGCCTCAACTTCCCGAGTAGCTGGGATTACAGGGATTTCACCACTTTGCCCAGCTGCACTATTTTCTATTATTCTATTTCTCTTAAAAACTGTCAAGAACCTTGAGAACGAATAAAGGATAACTAGGAGATCTAGCTAGAAGAGGTATAAAGGTGAATCCTTTTTTTTCTTTGGTGCTGGGGTGAATCCTTTTGTTATAAATCTTTTTATTAACAAGTATCCTCTGGCTTCGTTTTTTAGTGTATAGGATGTTCATAAACTAAGCCTTTGGAAGAGGGTAAGTTAACAGTGTCCCTACAAATACATGATGTACAAGGATGCTCTCTCATCCATTGTAATTCTCTTCTAGCAATTCTCTAGAGACCCTAGGGAAGAGTGAAAATTATTCCCCTAATGACTGTCTTCTATAGGAAAGCAAAAAAAAGCAGTGAAAGAAAAGCAGATCCAGCACCTGGGTACTGTAGTGACAAGGGGATGTACTGACAGGTATATCCTGCAGCAGGGGAAGGTGGAGGAAAGCACATCTTTCCAGCCAGGCTTTCAGCAGGCAATGAGCCCAAAGAGAGATGATCACTGCAGTTGTTCACTTCCAGGCATGGAGAGTAGCTGCAGGCAATCATCAGGTAAACTGCAGTGCAAGTGGAATTCTCTGAGTCTCGGGACACTGAGCTCATTAGCAAAGCAACCGTTAAGAGCCTTTTCCTGATGAAAGACTTGATAGGTGGGGGAACGTAACTCCCACTTGGAAAGAGAGATAGGAGCAGGGGCTATTTTTAATACTTTCATAGAATGTATCACCCTGAACTTAATTTATTTACCTATTAGCATATTATCTGTCTCTCTACCCCCACTGCAATGTTAGCTCTACAAGGGTAAAGACCTTTTGTTCACTGTTGCATCACTGCCCTCAAAAACACTGACATATAGAAAGATTTCAATAACTAAGTGATGAATTAAAAAATAATTCATCCTCAAGATGAATTCTCCATGAGGGAAGGAGGCACAGGGTACCCTAAAAAGACCAGATCCCTAGCAAGGGAGACAAGGAATACGATTCAAAAGAGGGAGGGTTAAGCTTTGCCTTTGCAAGGTAATGACTTTGGGCCAGCCTTCCTTTTCACTTTCTCTACTTCTATCTTTCATTTATTTATTTATTTATTTTTTAACTTTTGGTACCCAGGATCGAACTTGGGTCCTTGCGCTTGTGCAGCAGGCGGTGAAACTACTAAGCTAAATCCCCGGCCCCTACTTCTATCTTTTAAAAAACAGAAGCTGGGTGCTGCCTGCCTGTTAGGTATGAAGTCCTGAGTGTTCCCCTGTACAAAAAAAAAAAAAAAAGAGGTTGGGATCCCAGTACTTGGAAGGTAGAGGCAGGAGGATTTCGAGTTTTTGGCCAGCTTGGGCTACATACTGAGGTCAAGGCCAGCCTGGATTACATTGTGGCCTTGTGGGCCGGGGATTTAGCTCAGTGGTGCTGTCGCCTGCCTCGCAAGCAAACACACACACACACACACACACACACACACGCAAACATTGTGGCCTTGTCTAAAAAAAAACTGAAAAAAAAAAGTTGGGGTTGGGGAAAGGGGAAAGGGAGGGAGAGGAGAGGGGAAGGGGAGAGAAAGGGGGAAAAACGGAGAGGTGAGGGCCAAGAGGGAGGGAGTAAGAGTGGTAAGAGGAGGAGGAGGAAGGGAGAGGTGGAAGGAGAAGGAGAGGGAGAGGGAGAGGGAGGGAGAGAACCAAGCTCATAAACTCAGCACTCATAAACCCAGCACTCAGGAGGCTGAGGTAGGAGGATTGTGAAGTATGAGGGTACATAGCAAAACCCTGTCTCAGACATAAAAAGTAGGGGCTCAGGATGTAAGCTCTGTGATAGAGCACATGCTTAGAATTTGCCAGGCTGTGGGTTTGATTCACGAAACAAACAAAATGAATAAAAAGAGGGAGGAAGGGGAAGAGAGAGAGAGAGAGAGAGAGAGAGAGGGAGGGGAAAAAAGTGGGTGATTCCTATGTATCAAAATGAAAGCACACAAGAAATTACTTAGGAACTGTGAAATTCTATTCAAATGGCTGAATTGTGGACTGGGACGCCAAAAACACGGCTTCTAATAGCAGCTCTGCCATTTGATGATGGTGGTGGTGGTGAGCCACTGTGTACCGAGCTATTAATTTCATGAGCTATGCTAAACTAAACATTTCATATTCAGTTAACTCATTTTGACTTTATCACAACCTTCTGAGGTAGGTGGTGTTAACTTAATTTTACAGATGAAGAAATTGGAGCTCAGGGAGGTTTGGTAACTTGCCAAAAGCTACAGAGTACAGGGTAGTGCTGGGATTCAAAATCTGGTCTGACAGATTCAGAACCTTGGTGCTCCTGGGCACTCACTAAGCCAGATGTCTGATCTTGGGCAAGTTAGTTCTGTCTCCTTTACTCTGTAAAATGAAAGGCCAGACTGGAAGACCTCGAGTCTTCACATTTGACGTTTGCTGGTCTCTTCTCCTGATCCCCACTCTGATCCAATTCTACACTTAGCCAGTGGACCGAAACAGGCTGGGTGAGGGTGTGGGAAAGTGATAATAATCCAGTCCTTTCATCGTCCTAGTTAGGATCTCTTTTTTAGAAGAGGAGGAAGAGACCTAAATATTCACAGTCCTAGCTGTATCCTAGGTCAGTCTGTTCAAACACCCACTCGGGTACTGCCAGAGCCTGGATCCCGTCTCCTTTAACCCTTACAGGCAGGGGCCGCTGTCTGCCAGAGGGATGCGAAGGGCAAGGCAGGAGCCCCGCGGCCAACCTGGACCCCGCGCTGGGCTCGGCCTCACCCCGCCCCGGCTGTCCCGCGACCCTTCCGCGTCGGTCCCTCCCCTCAGTCGGGGACCCCAATTCCTGGTTCAAGGTGCTGCAGAACCAAGTGGGATAAATACCTGGGACGTATCTGGGACGCTGGCTACCGCGCTTTCTCTGCTCCCAGAGGAGAGAGGGGAGGCCCGACCCACGCTGGGAGGGGCGGGGCAGGAGTCACGGCTACTGGGACTGGCCCTCCAGGCCGAGCCCCAATCATCTCAGCCGCCGCTTCCCGCCTGCGGGCGTCTCCTGGCCCCAACCGAAGCTCTCGGGTTCCTCACCTCCGACTCCCGACGCTGGTTGCGGAACGCTTCCCGACCCTTGGGCGCCACAGGCTTCCCTTTACCATTCCCGTTGCCGTTGCCATTGCCGTTGCCGTTGGCAGGCAAGCTCCCGGCCCCGGGCGCCGTTGGGTCCTCCATGCTGCGGGTCTGGAGCTCTCCTCAGCTGCTCAGAGCTCTCTGCCTGGGGCGACCCCGCCACCGCGCGCCCGGAGCCAGGCCCCACCCTCTCCGTCGCTATTGGCTGTGGTCACTAGACGCGGCCCCACCCCGTGGCGCGATTGGCTGCCCGACGTGTCGGAGCGGGACTTGGAGAAGGTAGGGGCTCTTTGAAGAAATATCCCGCTCCTTCTTCAGATTTTTTTTTTTTTTAACTATTTCTGCGGCGTTTCTGGAAGCCAGGGACTCCTGGGTTGGCTTCCCGCTCCACCTCCCGAACACCGATCTTTGAGCTAGGGCACGTTAGTTCTTTGCTTCTTGCAAGGTGTCCCTCAGCACCCATCCCTTTCAAATCGCTACCTTTTCCGGGAGCTCTAGACTCCGCCCCCTGCTCCACTGCGGTCCGACCGAGACCTCTGTGTGCAGAACACGTCCCACATCCCGCTTAGTCGCGGGGAAGTGTTGGCACCATTAGGTGGGCAGGGCCACTGCGGGAAACTAGTGACTCTGCCTCTTTGGAAGCTTTCTAAAGAGAATGCATCCCGCCAGGAGAGAGTGCTGACTGGGAGACTGGGGGGTGAGGGTTGGGATTGGAGGTGTTTTTACTTTTCTGAAATCGCTGATGCTCTGGAGGGCTGCTTCTGGTTATCTGCCCTCTGCTGTGTGGACACCTTCCTAGTGGTTGAATAGACAGTAACCCCTAGGCTCACACCGCCCCCCCTTTGCCTTTTTCCCTTCCCCTTTCTAAGATCCTTTCCAAGGGCTCAGTGTTACCAGGGCAGTGGAGGCTGTGCAGTTTGTTGGTGGTCTGTCCACTCTAGAATTTATCTAAAAAGCAGCTTGTAGTAAATATTTGGCAGTTAGTTCTGGCCGAATAATGGAAGCCCCCAGACAAGCAGGAGGAAGGGAATGGATGGAACCAAAACTCAGATCCAGGGAGGGGTTGCTTTAGAAAGGGGAGGGGGTGGAGTTGAATGTGCTGTGCCAGGCATTGTAGTAGAAACTTTCTAGAGACCTTAGGTTATTTTCATGAATCCATTATTACTGATGAGAAAGCCAGGACTCACAGGATACTCTTAGTTCTCATGGTGCCTTGCAACCTTGAATATCTTGTATCTTGTCTCAGTGCCCAGAGGGTGTTGAAGGAAACTTGTTTTCTTGGTTGACTCCTTCCTTACAAAGTCTAGTTATCACACCCTCCTCCTGCTCCAGAAAACTTTTTTTTTTAAAACCATTCTCACCCCATTCAGGTTGTGTTGGTATCAAGCCAACTTTGCCAGGATCCAAAATCACCATTTCCTACCATTTCCCAAAAACAAGGAGCCCAAAAATTGTTTACCCTTTCAATATTTTAGGACAAGTGTATTCCTTTCTAATCATGTCTCCCTCACTCTTCCCTCTGCTAGTTGGTAGATGACAGATGAAGGGAGGCTTGAGAGAGAGCAACTCCTTGGAAATTTCTGGGCTGTTTGGGAGTACAGCAAAATTTCACAACCTCTGTACTACTGACATTTTGGGTTGAGAAATTATGAGGGCTGTTCCATGCATTGTAGGATATTTAGCAGAATCCCTGGCCTCTCCTCAGAGAGGTCAGTAGTACACTCTCCTTGGTTGTGACAACCAAAAAGTTTTTAGATATTACAAAATGTCTCTTGGGGTAAAAAATCTGTTGAAATTCCCTGGTTTACAGAATTGAACTGATGTGAATTTCCAGGAAATTCCTTGGCTCAAGGCCTAAACGATTTGATTTTGGATTTTTTTTCAGGGTAGAATTTCTTAAACTCTTAGAAACTTATACTCTGATTTAAAATTCACAACCCAAAAAATTAAAAAAATAAAAAAATAAAAAATTCACAACCCACATCTACCTCATCATCACTTTAGTGTGATAAAACTGGCACAGCATGGGCCATTGGGTTTTTCATTAAAAATAATTATCTACCTTATTCTTCCCAATACCTTTCCTTCTAAGCAGTCAGAGCTCCAGGAAAGCCCAGAGCTTCATATTCCTTTAAACTTCATCAATCAGTAGTATCCTCAACAGTGGTAGAAATCCCCACTATGGCCAGTTTTGAGTCTTTGTCCCTTTTCCTGCCTATCCCTAAGGCAAGGGGCAGAGAATGATTTGTTAGGGTTGGGGACAGCACTCAGGTCCCCTCTGGCCTCTATCTAAAGCCAGCTCCTGAGCCTAGAGCTCCATCTGGCTTTACTTTTATTTTTTGGTACCGGGGATCAAACTCGGGACCTTGCGGTTTCGAGGCAGGCGGCAAAACCACTGAGCCAAATCCCCGGCCGATTGGCTTTACTTGTAGAGAACAGATCTGAAAAACTGGTGCTATGGAGATTACAAAGAATCAACAGGAGAACCCTTAAACCATGATCTTTTCCACAGTCCAGTAGAATGGAAGACAGTAAAGATCAGGGATCTATCTGCACCATATAGGCCCAGATGTAAGATACCTGGGGGGGGGGGCATGACTAGAAGTAACAAGAAACCACAGATTAGCTGAAAACTTTGAAACTGTTATAGGCTATGAAATTGGCTCACATGAAATCTTTTAGCTTATTTGCCATGAAGGGTGACAAGTATAATACAACTGATCACAGAGGCATCCATACATGGGAACTAATAAGGTTGGTCTACAAACATGTCTTCCCATTTTGCAGAGATGGCTCCAGGGTTGGGTTATTTTAAATTTGCTTATTTAAAAATCTACACTACTAATTTCCCTTGTCCTAAATCTCAGGTTTTATCCCTAAACTCAGGCTGCTGGCAGAGGGCTGAAAATATAAATAGGTATAGTTACAAGGATCAAACACTCTCCTTTCTCATTTTAGCACTTTAATCCATGGAGGTCAAACACTTGATTAAACAGAAGCACCCAGGAATAAAGATGTTAAAAAATAAATTGCAGGAAGTCTTAAAGTACCTTCTTTTTGAGGAGATTAGGCAGCTAGGGTAACACAGGAGAAAAAGGATATAACACCCTCTTCTCCCTGTAAAGGGCATGTGTGGGTGTAATGATGCAATGGAGGCTGTAGGACCCTAGACAGGAAAGTAATGTTAATTCAGTAAGCAGAGTATGCCAGGCTCTTTAAGCAATATTTGTTTTTTGTTTGTTTTTTTCGGTACCGGAGATTGAACTCGGGTCCTTGCGCTTGCGCAGCAGGCAACGAAACCAGAGCTAAATCCCCGGCCCTTTAAGCAATATTTGTTATACAACAGGATATTAAATCTCTACCCGGAGATAAGCATTATCCATTTTACAGGCAAGAAAACCGAGGTTCTGATTGGTTATATAATTTAACCAAATTACACAACTTGGCAGAGGTGGGGTTCAAATCCAAATTAGCCTGATTCAAGGCCCAAGCTCTTTCTACAATACTGTGAAGTGGAGAAACTCACGTTAACAGTGGGCAGTCTAAGCTGACCTTATGAGTCTAAAACTAAGACCTAGGCACTCATTCCATTCTTCACAAAAGAGAAATCAAACTGCCACAGGGGAACAAATCCAGCCAGCTGACTCATGGGCTTCATTGCTAGCAGCTGCATTCTCTCTTAACTGGAATGGCACCAGTTTGAGACACTACCAACTGCCCAGACTATTCTAGTCCTGTAGCCCCTTCATTCAAATAAACAGCAGTCAAATTGGCTGAAGATTCTGATAGGGAAAAAAAACCTCTTGACCACAAGACGCAGAATTAGTTTAGGTTAACTAAAAAAGAAAGCTAGGGCTGGGGATTTAGCTCAGTGGTTCCAGTGCCTGCCTCGCAAGCGGATGGTCCAGAGTTGAATCCCCGGTACCAAAAAACAAAAAAAAGAAAAGAAAAAGAAAGCTACCCTGCTGGTAGTTGAGAAAGAATAGGCAACTAACTGGATTATCTACTTATTTAGTCAGGTTACCCAATTTAGGGACAAACCTCTAGCGGATTAATTAATTTTTTTTGGTACCGGAGATCGAACTCAGGACCTTGAGCTTTCAAGGCAGGCGGCAGACTGAGCTAAATCCCTGGCGCTAATTTATTTCTTCCCTTTGCTGGACGTAATCGTAATCGGGTCCTGTGTCTGGGTCCTTTGATCCCAAATTGTGGGGATGTTGACTTCCTGTGCTCTCCAGTTAAAGAAAGCACAAAGAAAGCTTGAGGGATGTAGAACCATACTTCAGTTTCTCTACCTTAATTAAACCTATAGTACTCAACTCCCCAGGGTAGTGGTTCTTTTGCTTCTTTATACACAAAGCTAGGGCAAATGTCATGGTGGGATGGGGTGGTGGGAGGGACAAGATATCTGTTACTGGTGTGGCCCTGTGTGGAAGAAGGATCTCCAGGGGATGATCACTCAAAAATGTCTATTGGCAACTGCTTCAGCTTTTCACATTCTTGCTCTATAGTAGGCTCCCCCTAGCTTGTGGCCCAGTCTTATCTCCAAGTACCTAGTTTACAAAAGCAAGAATCCAAGAATCCATTTTAAGAATATTTTTATTTGTCTTTTGCGATTACATAGTCATTATTGCTGATCTAATACAATCACTTAGACATAAGATTTCCAAGAGCTTCTCAGAAATGGTGAGTCTTAGGATTTTTTTCTTTCAGTAAGATGACAGTGAGAACTAGATGATTAGTTTAATATATATTTGTATATATGTATATATAGTTTAGGACTTGTCCACGTATAATTTGCTGGTGTTGCCTATTTTCTTTCCATAATTTTCCATTATTAAAAAAGCTTAATGCAACAATGCATTTTTATTTATTTATTTTTAGAACCATGACAAAGTTAATTTTGAGAAAACCACAGGAGCAGCAATTTTAGATCTGTTCAGAGAAAAGCCAAGCAGCAAAAAAGCTTTGCAGGAGTGTGTGGCCATGGGGAACCATGCTCAAATTGGAGGTAGGATGGGGAGGTAGAAGGGCAGTGGGAAGGTAGACTAGAAGGATTTTTTTTTTTTTTGGTATCGGGGATTGAACTCAGGTCTTTTTGCTTGCAAGGCAGGCAGTGGAACCACTGAGCTAAATCCCCAGCCTAGAAGCATTTTTTTTTTAAATGAGAAAAAGGAAACAGTATTTCCATTAAGAAGGCAAAAAGACCTTTAAACCAGCACAAATTCATTGTAGATAAAATGGTATGTATCCCCACAGGCCAGGGTCACATACAAAGGGATAATTAGCTTTCTTTCCTTTGCCTCCTGATAGCTAGGATGCATCTAAGGTGAGAGACTGGAGGAAAGAAGTCATATTTGCTGATTTCAAAAGTAGCGAGAATAGTAATTAGACTCCAACACTAAGATTAACCTGAACAGAAGGCCTGGGCTTCTTCCTTCTTAATGGTTGATGACACAGGGAGGGAGAGAGAGAGAAAGAGAGAGAGAGAGAGAGAGAGAGAGAGAGAGAGAGAGAGATCATCTGAAACTCAGAGGCAAATACCTCACCGTGGGCAGCAACACTGGCAAGCTAACTTAGAAGCCCTTGTGGGTCTTTCACTATTTGAAGTGGGTCTCTTCACAATAGTACTCTGTAAGTACTAGCACATAGTAAGCTCTGTAGAGAGCAAGGCTTTGCTGAGAAACAGTAAATTACGATTTTTGTTCTAAGAACTTAATAGGCTAGAGTCCAGATACCCGCCTAATGGAATCAGCTCTGAACATGAGATGTGGTACAGAGATCTGAATCTTTTGCTGAAGAGATTCAACTAATTAATATAAAAATCAGAACTGGGCAGGCAATAGAATTGAGTAGCCTAGTAGAATTTTCAGCATTTATGGTCTTCCTTATCAAAAAGAATATAGCCAAGTATGTGCTACTGCTGAGACTTCTGAAGAACCAAACTCTACGGGCTGAGCCCGTATACTATTTCATGAGGCAATTAGCCATTTACTCAAGTTCCACCTCTCTATCTCCAAAAGTAAGGGCACTTCCAGACTAGCTCCAAGGGTGAATGTTAAGACCAGAGGAAGTTGGTGAGGACAGAGGTGGGGGAGAATGATCAGCATAGGAAGCTTATAGTGATTCTGGGTGGTCTGGTGTTTCCTTGAATCATCTTAGTCCTGAGACTTTGACACAGATAAGGAAAAAAAAAAGTCAAACATGAGAGTATTAAACAGAGTTGGCTAGGGAAAAAGAGACTCATTTCAAGATTCCTATGGTCACTCCAGACGTTCTGGTGCCCCAGAAACCTTTAAACCAGCAAATGAGTCTCCGAAACAGATTCAACTCTTAGATAGGATATAAAATCTCATGCTGCTCATATTATTAAATTTTTTTTATAATGCTGGAATTACTCAAGAAACTCTCTCTGAAACTGAATCCTTAAATGGAAGAGGTCAGATCATAAAGAGATAACAGCAGAGAAGACAGATCAGTTTGCAGATCTTAGTTTCATCACTGACAATGGCCAAAAGGATGAATACTGGATGAGGTTCAAACTAGTCAAACTAGCTTTGATCATCTGGGGAGTCTACAGTGTCATCTCTTTATCTCTCAGCCAGTCAAGCTGCAAGGTCTTTCCAAGGAAACAAATAAACATATCTGCTTCTTTAGAGGGTCAAGCTGTAGGCCTGAAAGACCTGTCCCTTAAACCTCCAACTCTTTGAGAAAGTATGGCTTTCCCTACTCAGTTTCAGAAATAGTTTTAGGCAATAACAGGAAGTTTCAGGAAGCAGTGTTCTCCAACAAGCCCTCCTTTTCTGAGAGTTATCAACCTGGAGGGGACTTCCTGGGAAATTCCAGTGAAATGACAAAGAAGCAAAACTACGAGAAGTAGAGCTGGCTCCCACTTCCTGAGCAGAGTTTGGTGGAGTTAGAAAGAGGCCGAAACACCAGAGCTGTTGAGGAAATCACAGAGGCACATCCCTCTTGGAACCAGAAAGCATTAAAATGGGACATAAATATTCAAGGAGAAGGAGGAGTCCTAGGTGAAGGAGGAGACCTAAGTAGGCACAGGCATAGGCTCAGGTGAGCTTTTGGTGCAACTTGCCAAGGTCTTAACACTCCTTCCTTACCAGCCTTTTTAAATAAAGAAGGCAGTGATAGTGATGGTCAAGGCTGGGAACCCAGGTCATGTTAATTTGGTGGCTTCCAAAAGGCCTCATATGGGGAAGGGCGAAAGCTGAGAAAGGCAGCTGCTGAACATTTATTCCAGAAAAGCCCAGAGAAGGAGCCTGAAATCCCTGGGCTGACTCCTGAGCCTGGACAAGAGAAAACGGCCACTGCTGAGGATTCAATGGATGAGTGTGTCTGTGAAGTGAATGACGTAGTAGGAAAGGTTACTCCATTTTTTCCTTCCTCAGTCTGTCCTCTGTGGCTCTCATGGCCCTTGGAACAGTAACCACACTCTGGGCCAAGGCTACAGGCATAGGAATCTAGATTTTAATAAATAAATAACCTAACACACAGGGTGAGCACGGTGAGCAGCTCTGATCAGAGAAGCGTTCTTGCTGGGTTCTTTCTTGGATAGTAGTGGAGAAAAGGCTTGGAGTTCTACTCCTTAAAACTTCTGGCTTGAGTTACAGGAACTTAATACCTGGAGGGAAAAAGAAAGACAAGAGTGTGATGTTATCAGCTAGCAGGGATGCTGGAACACGAAGAGTCTGCCTAAAGGTGTAACCAAGAAGCAGAAGTCTTTCTGGAGTGTAGATAATTGTGGCCCCTTTTCACATCGGGGCCAATACATCTTGGGAAGGATATTACTTAATGTTTGAGGAAGGTCTCAAAGAGTTTTTTGGAGGTAAACTGAGGGGGAGTCAGTTTACTTTCCTGAGTTCATGTAAATGTATATGGTGAGGTATACAAAGACCAATTCCAGTCTTTCCCAAGCGGGAAGCTCTTCACCACCTAGGCTTTCCTGATTTCTGGGGAGCCCAAGGCACCTGTAGTAATTAGGCTTGAAGGGCCCATTCTTGTTGAGTCCCAGATACTTGGCCTGTTCATCTGTCAGCTCTGTCAGGTGGGCATCGAAGGTGGGCAGGTGTAGACTCGCCACATACTCATCTGGAATAGACCACAGAAGCCCTTTTATAAGTGTTCATACCTCCTATCTGGCTGTTCTCCAGTCCCTAGATAAGGACTTAAACATTTGGAAAACACCTTCAGATTCCTGGAGCAGAGTGAAACATGCTTAACTTTTGCTTACTGGCCCTCAATTCTAAGGAATGGTTGCCTACAGCTTCAAGCCCAGTGTCTTTCAAAGCTGCAAGTAACATCTCTTCCTTACCGTCTCTTTCAGCCTTGAACCTTTCCTTCTCCCCAGGAAGGTGAGAGATGAAAGAAGCAATAATCCTTAGGGTTTAAAAGAATGGGATAGTGAGGGGACTGAAAAATGGAAAGCTCCAACCTTAGTTTTGCCTTGGACGCTATACTTTGGGTCAATCTGAAAAGCTAACACCTAGGGAAATTAGAAAGTATCAACTGAAAAGTATACTACACAGTTTCCTTTGGTTTTAGTTTTTTGGAAACAGGGTCTTGCTATGTAGTCCAAGCTTGCCTTCAACTCACTTTGGAGCCCAGGCTGGCCTTGAACTTGTGGTGATCCTCCTGCCTCAGCCTTCTCAATGCTCAGATCACAGTCATGTGCCACCATGCCTGACTCTGCTTTTAGTACTCTTACTTATGTATTTCTGTTTATATTCTATTATCTGAATACATTGTACTTACTCTTAATATTGAAAATATTCTTATATATTTGTTCTGTCTCCTCAACTTCATTATATATCTAATCAGAATATGGACTGTGTATTGTATATCCTTTAAAATTGTCCATTAAAGAGAAAATATATCAACTTCTAACAGTTGCTAAAATAAAACCAGAAGTTGATATATTCCTGACCTTTGGCCGAGGGGTTTATTAAACACATTGTACCATTCAGGTGCTTGAGGCAGGCACTTTAAACTTTTAAGGCAGTTTAAATATTTTTCTTACACCAGTACCCACAAAACTAAACTCTTAATAGGAGCTACTCCTAGTCCCTTTGGCCAGAAGTAATGGGGCTAGCATTGGAGTAGAATATCTTTTTTTTTTTTGGTATCTGAAATCGAACTCTGGACCTTGCACTTTCAAGGCAGGCAGTGGAACCACTGAGCTAAACCCCTGGCCTGATGGGGCTAGCACTGGAAGGTGTAGTTTGAAAGTCAGGGCTATTTAACAGCCTAGAACTGGAATAAATCAAGATGCCATAAGGTAGGAGATGATTTCTTACTTTTGCGGGAATCTTTTTTGTTTTTCTCCTTTGAGATTCTTGCATACAATATACCTTAAGAGAAAATCCTCAAAATTCAGAGGCAGGTAAGCTAAATCCCAGAAAAATAAGAAATTCACTATGGCAACCCATGTGGAAAATGGGATAAATTAACTGTGAATGGAACCTAGGACTCCTATCTCCTACTGTATAAGATAAATATATCTTTATTTTTTTTATCCCCTAAGCTTCCTTTAGCCTCAGATTCTGAACTACTTTGGTAAGAATGAGGAAGAAAGAGTGCATGCTTACCCATTTTCTTGGGTAACAAGTAGACATCCTGCTTATAGCGACCCTCAGGAGCATTATAAAGCTCTATCAAGGCGAGAGCCTGAAAAGCAGAGAAGTGGATACTGACTCAGTGTTCACAGCTGGCTACTCTGCAGCAAGTGAAACCCTGCCCACTGCTGTTCCATTCTGGAGGCCTCACCTGAGTAGTTGCGGTGATTGAGAGCACAAATGTAGGCACTGTGGAGCAGCTTAGGTTCAGCAAACGGCCCTAGTGATGAAAGGTGAAGACACAGAGGTGTTAGGACAGCTGCTGGCCTGTGAGAAGTGAGGGAAGAGCAGGACTGCCACTCTCCAAACCCTTCCCAACAAGCACTGCTGGATGAAAAGCAGGTGTTCAATGCTAGGAACTGACAACTTTTCTTGTCTTTTTCTTTTTTTGTAGTTCAGACTGGGATTGAACTCACAGTGATCCTCCTGCCTCAGCTTCTCAAATGTGTCTGACTTATTTAACTTAGCATAATGATGTATGTCATTGCAAATGACAGGATCTCAAACTTTTTTATGGCTGAATAATATTCTACTGTGTATATACACCATCTTTTTAAAATTTTTTTCACCAGTACCAGGGATCAGGACCTTGTACTTGCAAGGCAGGTGTGGTGCCACTGAGCTAAATACCCAGCCCTACACCATCTTTTCTTTATCCTTTCATTAACTGATAGACACTTGAGTTGTTTCCATTTCTTGGCTACCATGAATACTACTACAATAAAAAGGGGAGTATGTGTCTTTGACATACTGATTTCATTTCCTTTGGTTATATACCCAGTAGTGGGATTGCTGGATCATGTGGTAGTTCTATTTTTAATTTTTTTAAGGAACCTGCATATTGTTTTCCATAATGGCTGTACTAATTTACATTCCCATCAACAGAGTGCAAGCATTCTCTTTTCTCCACACACTTGACAGCATTTGTTATCTTTTGTCTTTTTGATAATGACCATTCTTATGGGGGTGAGATGGTATCTCATTGGAGTTTTAATTCACATTTCCTGATGATTCATGGTGACCATATTTTTCATATACTTGTTGGCCATTTGTATATCTTCTTTGGAATTAACTGCTATTTAAATGAAATCATGGAAAATTTGGTAAAGGTACTAGGTAAACAATTTCTGGAATTATGTAAAAAGGAATAGTCAGGTGATGCCGAGGTTTATGTTAGGGAAGGGTATATTTCTCCTGAATTAATTTTTAACTCTCTGTAGCAAAATATCCTCCTTCTGAGAACTGACATTCTTTTGAAAGGTGACTTAGATAATGTCTAGTCAAGTCCAGGAGCAATCTCTCCAGGTTGTGAGGATCTATGGCTTTAGGAAGCTGTGATGATTTTTGTGTTTCTGCCTCAGTTTGGTTCTCCTGAATGCAACAGCAGTGTTGAATTTTGAGTGGATGATTCAGAAAGAAGAGCTAGAAACTCTCCCCACGCTATCCTTTCCTATTTTGTTTCCTAGGAAGCCTGACTACTGTTTTTGTTAAACCACATAGGCCAAAAAACCCACAAAACTGATGATGCTTGCTTTGTCATCAAAGTTACTAAATGAGAATTCTCAGATCAACTAGAAATAAGTCGCCAGATAGCCAGCTGACATGAAAACTATTAATGCCATTTAATAATCTTCCCACCCTCACTCCATGTGAAGAAATAATTCAGTCCCTTTACAAATGTCCTAAAATATTTGAGAAGGTGAGATAAGCAAGGAAAAGGTGAAAAGAACAGTAACTTTATGGACCCTTAAAGACAGGATATTATTTATATTTTCATATTGTTTCTTTAATATAAAAAAAAACAAAAAAAACTAGAAAAAAATAAATAAGCCAGGCATGGTGGCACATGCCCGTAATTCCAGCACTCGGGAGGCTGAGGCAGGAGGATCCCTTCGAGTTTGAGACCAGCCTGGGCTACATAATGGGTTTAAGGCCAGCCTGAACTACACAGTGAGACCCTGTCTCAAAAAAACAAACAAACAAAAAAAGAAACGACTAAAAATTGAAACCCAAGAAAAGTATTATTATCCTTTTTATTTTTTTGGTATCTCTCCCTGAAGAGAAAGTTTTGCAGTAAAAACATGGAGAATTATGGCAGCCAGGAATATAGAACTGGAAAAGAGGAGTTTTCAAGAGAGGAAAAGTAGTCAAACATTGACACAGAAAAGTATATAGAATGAAAGTCAAAAATAAGTGTAAGGGGGCTGGGATTTAGCTCAGTGGTTCTGCTGCCTGCCTTGCATGTGCAAGGTCCCAAGTTTGATCCCCGGTACCAAAAAAAAAATGTGTAAGGGCCAGGCATGGTGTTGCATGCCTGTAATCCCAGCACTCAGGAGGCTGAGGCAGGAGGATCACTTTGAGTTTGAGGCCAGCCTGAACTATATAATGAGACCCTGTCTCAGAAAACCAAAAAAAAAAAAAAAAGTGTAAGGGCTGGAGTTGAAGTTCAGTGGCAGAGAATTTGCCTAGCATGTTAAAGGGCCTGGGTTTGATATCCACAACTACAGAATAATAATAATAATCATAAATAAAAAACAAAAAATAGCATTAAAAAAACAGATCAAGTGTGGACTAGAAGAGACGGGGTTGGGGGGGGGATATCAATGAAACCACCACATATATAGCTGAGTACCTACTACACATCTGGCTCAATTCAGGGAAACAGACACTCAAACACAGGGACTCTCTCAGCAGACATGATTTTCCCAGAGCTTGCCTAAAATAGTGTAAGTTTCAGACAGGAATACCTACTTTGTGCTTTCTGATTAAACCATCCCACAAATGACATTATCTCTTTATAAGCATCACTCAAAGTGGCACTGGTTCTATCTGTTAATTCCTTCCACAGTAATAGTCATTATCTGACTAAACCTGGAGAGTGACATGGAGAGACAGGATAATTGGTGAAAAGTGGGGAACCAAAATAGTTTCTTAATTGCTGAATGAAAAGACCTTGTAAATTAGAAGTAAAATCCATCAGTAAGCAGTTAAACTTGTGCTTAAGAAAAAGTGATAGAAGAATAAGGGAACATGAGGAGAAGGGGCCCTGAGCACTACAGTTTTCCCTTCAGAAGGGCACATCTCTTGCTGGTCTCAGTCTTTTTTTTTTTTTTTAATTTTATTTTGCTGGTCTCAGTCTTACCTCAGCCAGTAAGACTATCCTCTTGCCATCAGGCCATATCACATGGTCAACTTGAGATCTCACTCGCTCCCAGGTTAGCTCTGGTGTCCGCAGACTCGCCTGGAACACATACAATAAGAACATTGTTAGGGCCAGGGATTTAGCTCAGTGGTTCTGGTGCCTGCTTCGCAAGCACAAGGTCCCAAGTTCGATCCCCAGTACCAAAAAAAAAAAAAGAACATCATTAGCCATGGCAAGTCCCATGGTGGTGACAAAGATGGTGAAGGGAGCCATTTCAAGGAGCAACCAACATGCCACATGGAGAATACCTGTCCTGGGTTGATTAGGACTGTTCCATTTCAGGGAATTTAATCTTAGGCCCACCCAGGGAGGGATCACTCAGGATGTCATACCACAACATACAATGTACATCCAACTCTCTGCTGAGCACAGTAAAAGGTGCTACAGGAAATACAAAAGAAACCAAAAGCATGGTTTCTGCCTTCAAAAAGCTCACACTTTAGTTGGGGACACAAAATAATACATAGGTGATAGGAAAATACTTATAAAGCAACATGCAAACAAATGCAAATTAATACAGTGCAAACTGAATATGCAGTGCTGAAGAGACACAGGAAAAAGGAAGACCAGAGCTGAGTGGGATTAGCTGGAGAAGGCCAAATGTCCTAAACATAGCATGCTGGAGCCCAGGGTTCTGCCCTCATGTCCCTATGTCCCAAGTTCCACCTTCTCAATGATGGTGTCCACCCTAAGGCTACAGAGGCTTTGTGACCTAAGTGCAAATGTGAGGTATCCTGTGCTTGCTTCAGCAGCACATATACTAAAATTGGAACGATACAGAGAAGATTAGCATGGCCCCTGTGCCAGGATGACACGCAAATTTATGAAGCATTCCATATTCAAAAAAAAAAAGAGTGAGGTATCCTTTTAAAAAATGCTTAATGGTAGAGCAAAGCTCCCGATTGCTCACCCTCCTTCCATTTCTGTCTATCATATATTCAGAGAACAAGAGAAAATATGTTAAGTTTATTGGCAATAGCAACCAAATAACAGTCACAGGGTGTAGACTTAAAACAACTATTTCCTTCTTCCAATAGGAATGCCTAAAAAAGAGAGTTCATATTTCAATACTACTTACTGGCTCATTTGAAAAACTCAAAAGTTCTGCCAAATACGAGTTTTTTGTGTTTTTTTGGTACTGGAAATTGAACTCAGGTCTTTGCGCTTACGCAGCAGGCGACAAAACCACTGAGCTAAATCCCTGGCCCTGCCAAATACTAGTTTTAAGACAAAGAAAAATACTTTTAGTTGTATAATAATCATTTACTGAATATATATCATATCCTAAGCATTGTAGTAAAGGACACAAATATAGATAAGACTGTGGATTCCTTTACTAGAGTATGAACAATTTATAGATAGGGACAGTATCTTCTTTTCACTTTTGTATCCTCAAGTTTTACCTAAACATACAATGAGGTGCTCAACTAATGTTTAGATGTTCATGGTCCAGTACCAATATAGTGGGAAAGATAGATATATAATAATTATATTTCACTGTATTCAGAACCACATTCATGGTTTGGATCTTTTTTTTTTTTTGAGACAAAGTCTCACTTTGTAGTTCAGGCTGGCCTCTAACTCACTATGTAGCCCAGGCTGGCCTCGAACATGCAGTGATACTCTTGCCTCAGCCTCCTAAGTGCTAGGATTACATGTGTGTTTTTTTTGGTACCGGGGATCGAACTTGGGTCCTTGCGCTTGCGCAGCAGGTGGCGAAACCACTGAGCTAAATCCCTGGCCCACTAGGATTACATGTGTGTGCCATCACACCTGGCTTGGATAATTTTTTTTGGGGGGGGGTGGTACTGGGGATCAAACTCAGGAGCTTGTAGTTGCACGGCAGGCATCGGAACCACTGAGCTAAATCCACGGCCCTGGATAATTTTTTTATTAGGAAGAAGGGAAACATGAATGTTTCCTGAGACATTAAAATTTCATAAAGTGGTTCAATCTACCCAGAGAGCAATTTGGTAATGGCTAGGAAAATTTTACATGTATCTATTTTTTTTTTTTTTGGTACAAGGGACTGAACTCGGGACCTTTTGCCTGCGAGGCAGGTGGTGGAACCACTGAGCTAAATCCCCCACCCTATATGTATCTAATTTTTGACCAGTTAGTTTCACTTTTAGGACTCCTATAAATACTTGATCAAGTTCAGAAACAAGCATCCAAGAATGTTCAATCTAGCATTATTTATAATAAAAATATAAATCAACAAGGGAATGGCTATGTAAAATCAGGATAGCTCCATAAACTGTATTATGCAACTTAAAAAAGAAAAAGAAGTAGTGGCTGGGGATGTAGCTCAGTGGTCTAAAGCATGCCTAGCATGCATGAGGCCCTGGGTTCAATCCCCCAGCAGTCCCCCCACCCCCGCAACCTACATACTTTAATTCAAAAAACCACTGTTAAGTGGAAAACAGTTGCAGAACAATATAACATAATGCCAATCTTGTAAATCTTTACTTCTTACTTTAAATACTAATATCACTTGAATTTTCAAATTAAGCAAGTATTATTTTAAAACTTTAGAGGCTGGGGCTGGGGATTTAGCTCAGTGGTTCTGCGGGCTGCCTCGCAAGTGCAAGGTCCCGAGTGTGATCCCCAGTACCAAAATAAAAAAAAACCAAAAAACTTTAGAGGCTGTAGTCAGTGTGGCATGTGCAGAGCCCTGGGTTTGACCCTCAACAGCAGTTAAAAAAAAAGGAATTAAAAAAGGAAAATTCTTAAGTAAATATTGTGGACAGGGTTAAGAAGAATTTAAGAAGCACATGAATTATTTTGGGACATTAAGGATGTAAGCAGCAAGTCCTTCAGCCTTTGGGGTAACACACGGAGGGTAATAACCAGGTAGAGATAAGATATACTCTTTCGTGAACCTGGCATTTTTATTGTAATGGGACTTCTAAGTATTTCAGGATTTTATATTTCATATCCTGTGTATCTTCCAGAGAACTAGCAATCTTGGTGATTGGAGCAAAGAGCTGACAACATAACATGTGTCTCCTGTCTTAGGAACTATTCCCTGGGAAGAAAGATATGGTGGAATCAAGGAAAGGTCACTTCTTATGAAGACAAGAAAATGATCAAAAGTGAGTAGAGAGAGATACTAGAATCCTTGAAAGGCTGAGATGCAGGCAAAAGATCCTGAAAGTCAGCTTAGCAAAGAGGTTTAGAGAAACAGGGTTAACTCATCTCTACCATGGGGAGTGCCATGACCTGTTAGGGGCCATCTGGCAGTGACGCTTCTTGACAGAAGTGTTTCCTACCTCATGGCTGCACAGCTTCACACAAATCTCTCCTAAAGGTATCCAACAAAGTTATCACTAAATTGACTTATAATACATCTCTCCTTTTGCTTACATTTGACATCCAGTCCATTTAGCAAATCCCACAGCTCACAATATGTCACTTATTACCTCCTCTGCTTACCTATCTAATCCAAACCACCACTAGATTCTACCTAGGAAATACTGAAAGAACCTTTTGTTGGCTATCTTTACCCAAAGTGCTTTATACAAAAGCCAAAGTAATTTTCTTGTTTTTTAATGTCCACACTGGTGTTTATTTGTCATGAGAACTATTCTTTAGTCCACATATTGATGTTTAAGCCAAAGTAATTTTTTTACAACAAAAGTCAGATTTTGTCACTCATTTGTTTAAAACTGTCCAATGATTTCCTTCCTATTTAGAATAAAATCTAAAGTCTTTATCATGGCCTGTAAAGTTCTGCACAGCTGACTACCTCCTTGTCCATTCTGTTCCAGCCAACAAAGCTTCTTTTCTGTTCCTCAAACAATAAGCAGGTAGCTGGGTGTGGTGCCACATTCCCGTAATCCCAGAACTTGGCAGGCTGAGGCAGGAGGATCACCTTGAGTTGGAGACCAGCCTGTGCTACACATCGAGTCAAGGCCAACCTGAACTACATGGCGAGACCTTGGGTCAAAAACAAAAACAACAACAGGTTTATACCATTCTTTTTTTTTGCAGTACTGGGGATTAATTCCAGACCTCATGCATGCTGGGCAGGTGCTCTCCCACTGAGTGACATCACCAGTTCTCTATTCTCTCAGAATAGAATGCTCAGATGGCTTGCTCTTCTATTTCTTTTAAAAATTTATTTATTTATTTGTTGTTGCTCTTCCATTTCACTTTTTTTCAAATGTTATGTCCTCAAAGAGACCTTCCTTGACAATCCCAAATGAAATAGTATCCTCAATGTCTTTACCTTGCTTTTTTTCTTTCATATTATGTACTAACAGGGTGTAACTATCTGTTTATTATCTACCCCTGGCACTAGAATGAATATAAGTGCCACAAGAGGAAGGATATTGTTCATAGTTATTTCTCCAGTCAATTAGTACTTTTCACAGAGCAGAGCAAGTATTCAGTATACAGTTTCTAACTAATGCATGAACATTCTGAGGGCTGGGGATGTAGTGGCGTTGTGCCTGCCTCACAGGCACAAGGTCCTGAGTTCAATCCCTGGTATAGGGTGGGGAGTGGGGATTAGAAGAACATTCTGGTTTTCAGTTATTAGTTGAGTTTGCTATTTACTTACACTTCACTTTAAATGCCTTGTGAAACTATAGCCAAAAGTCAATAATTTAACTTTTCAAAAGAACATTTCTCTTTCTAGACCATTTAATTTAGCCATACACATTCTGCCAAGAAGACAGATTAAGCGAGGACTGGCCCTTGGCTCATGTTGTGGCAGATACTGGGGTCTACCTAGCATTACCTACAAAACTAGGTCTGGTCTCAACACAGCAGCCAGGGTGATCCTTTTGAGATAAGTCATCCAATTACAACCAGGCACATTGCCATAAACCTTACAACAAACAGCTCCCTGTTTCTCTCAGAATACAATCAGAAGTTCTTAGGATGGGCTATGAGGCCCTAGAACAGTGATGGCGAACATTTTACAGCTTTCAGTGATACAAACAGCCTCCTATGTGTGCCATAGGTTCACCACCACTGTCCTATAGGATCTGGCCTGTTACTTCTCTGATCTCATCTTCCACTCTCCCCTGCCTCCCGCTTATTCCTTCTCATTCCTCAAATAGACTAGGCACACTCCCAACTTACGGCATGTGTACTGGCTCTTTCTCTGCTTGAAATGCTCCTCACCTAAAAATCCACAGGGGTAATTCCTCAAGTATGCTCAAATATCACCTTAATAATGAGGCTCACAGCTTGACACTTCTATTTAAAATTACAACCCAGTGCTTGATTCCCTTTACCATGCTACACTTTTCTTTTTTCCATGGTGTTTTCACCCTCTCACATACTATAAATTTTATTTATTATGTGTGTTGTCTTCTCAGTAAAATGTAAGCTCCATAAAGGCAGGAATCTTTGCTTGTTTTGTTCATTGTCTACCAGCATCTAGAATAGCAGCTGGCATACAGTAATCACACACACACACACATACACACACACACACACACACACACACACACAAAAAAAATATTTGCGATGAGCCAGGCATGGTGGGTGCAGCCTCTCAGCACTTGGGAGGCTGAGGTAGGAGGACTGCCGTGAGTTCAAGGCCAGCTTGGGCTACATTGTGAATTCAAGACCAGCTTGAACTACATAGTGAGAACCTGTCTCAAAAAAAACAACAACAAAAAAACAAAAACAAAAACAAAAAACTGTAATGAAAGGTACAACAGTTTTCTAGTCTTCATCCTGACAGATTATTTATGTCTGGGGTGTCTTTGAAGGAGATATTACCATCACAAATTGAAGTTAAGGTTAACCTATAGGTCAGGGGAAGTGATAGTAATATACCATATTGGAAACAAAACAAAGGAAAACTAGACTTGGAGTCAAAACAACCGGATTTTGTTCCTCAGATTCATTTTGAATCAATCATATGGTTGTCAATGTGCTTAACTTCTCAGCATCCCTTGCAAGTTAAAAGAGTGACACCTTATGAAATAGCCAGAGAATGAAATAACAAAGTAAAAATAAAAAAAGGTAGGGGCCGGGGATTTAGCTTAGTGTTCCGCCGCCTGCCTCACAAGTGCAAAGACCCGAGTTCAATCCCCGATACCAAAAAAAAAAAATACAAAAGGTACATGATTTCCTTTGGAACTATTTTTATTACAACACCTCCTGAGTTTTTAGAAGAGAAAATTCCTCCCCCTTCCCTCTGTTTGACCATTTAGCAAAGGGGCAGTATGGCACATAAATGAAATTTAAGGGGAAGAAAGGAACCAACTACAGTACCAACTAAATTATTAACTCTAAACAAACTAGTATGGTAAAACAGAATAAGGGGCCATCCCATTCAGACACCCCAGAGAAGAAACAGGCCTCGGTAGGTTGTTGTGCCACCTTTTCTTTTTTTAGTGGTGCTGAGAACTGAACCCAGGGCTTTTTGCATGCTAAGCCAGTGATCTACCACTGAGCCACCCCCTACTCCCCAACCATTTAATAACTAAAGAGCAGACCACAGGATTAAAAAGAGAAACCATATAAAATAGCTACTGTTCAACAGGCTCTCAATGAATCAACTCATCCTTACCTGGCAATGCTGAAGCTCAATCAGAGCAGCCCTCAGTGGAGATGAAAGCATGCTATGGTTGAGCCAGTTACCCAGAGAGAAACAGTTGTGCCACACAAATTTAAAGCCAGAGTGAAAGTCATATTGAGAGATACTTTGTAGGTCTGAAAAGAAATTATACCTCTATTAACTATTACTTGGGGAACTTATTAGGACCAAGTAAAATCTTGGATTGGAAAATTTTAGGGTGAATATAATCAAATTACAAAACTAAAGTGATCAAAGATTTTCCAGATGTGAGGAACATAAACAATGGTGCTGGATTGATTATGACTTCTATAGACCCAATTAGTACAGTTCAGAATATATGTTAAGGGGAGACCTAGCCCAATGGAAGAGGCAGAAATGAGAAACTGCAGTGTTTGACAGACACAGTCAATTTTAAGCAATATAAGCATTCCAGCCCATAGATTTCTCTCCCTTGACTTATTTCCATGGACCAATCTACTGATCTCATCTTTATGGTAAAAATCCAACATCCCCAAAATACTGACTTACCATTGTAACTCACATTCAAACTCACTTGTAGTTTTGAGTTTACCTAGCCCTCAATCCTAAAGACAAAGAGAAAATGACTTATGGTATAAGTAGCTATCAAACTTAAATGGAATATGACAATCATTTTAAATGATTGCGATGTGGAAGCTCTAAAGTATCCACAAGCATAGGTCATAGGGCTAGTACATGAATGGATGTGGACAACTCTGCTAGGACAGTCATGTTTAGGAACGACTGTTCTTTCCTCTTCCAGGTTTTGAGTTTGATTCTTGGGGTTGGGGGGTAGGGACACAGAGAGAGAGACAGAGAGACACACAGAGACAGAAAGCACACATCAATAAAGAACCACTTGGCCTTACCACATCAATCTCTGTGTTGGAATGCCCCATGTTGCATACAATGCAGCCATTCTTCATACGGTCCAAATGCTCTCTGGTTACCACGTTCTTGTTACCTTAAAAACAGAAGAGATATCCACAAGAAAAGTAATGAAGGTGGACTTTCCCACCTCATATAATATGTAAAAATTAACTCCAAGTGGATCATAGACCTAAAATGTAAGAGCTAAAACCACAAAACTCTTACAAGATCACAGAAGTAAATCTTTGAAACCTTGGGTTTGGGCAATGGTTTACTTAGATATAACACCTTAAGCATAAGCAACCAATGAAAAAACAGATACACTGGGCTACATCAAAATTTAAAACGTTTTCCCAGTACTGGGGACCGAACTCAGGGCCTTGCGCATGCTAGGCAAGAGCTCTACCCCTAAGCTACATCTCTAACCCGTTTATAAATTTTATTCTGAGACAAGTCTTGCTAGGTTGCTAGGCTGGCCTTAAAATTATGATCCTCCTGCCTCAGCCTCCTAAATAACTGGGATTATGGTGTAAAATCACCATGCTTGGCCAAAAAATTAAATACTTTTGTATTGCAAATGATACCACTAACAAAATGAAAAGGCAACCCACAGGGTGGGACTGAGTTTTTACAAACCATGTAACAGAAAAGCAATTTGTATCCAGAATATATAAGGAACTCTTATGATTCCCAAAGACAATAACCGACATAAAAATGAACAGAAAGTCTGAATAAACATTTCTCCAGAAGATACACAAATGACCAATAACCACGTGAACATCACTAGTCACTACAGACGTGCAAATCAAAATCATGGTGAGTTATCACTTTACACTCACTGTGATGGTAAAAATAAAAAGAGGGACAATAGCAAGGACTGGTAAGGATACAGAGAAATCAGAACTCATATCCATTATTGAGGGCACTGTACAATGGTAGAGTCATTTTGAAAAACAGTTTGATGGATATGAGAGTGATCTGGCTGTGACATCTGTCAGCTCACTGATCACCAGGGTTGAAAAATATGGCAATTCCTCAAAATTTAAAGTAGAATTACTTTATGACCCAGCAATTCTATCTGTAGTATATATGCAGGAAAATATATGTTCACATAAAACCTTACATACAATGTTCATCATAGCATTATTCGTGTTTTTTTTTTTTTAAGGTGGTGCTGGGGATTAAACCCAGAGTCTTGTGCATGTTAGGTAAATACCATTGAGCTACATCCCCAGCTCCATAGTAACATCATTCATGACAGCCCAAAAGTAAAATGCAAATGTCCAACAAATGATAAATAGCAAAATAAAATGTGGTAGAACAATGCCATGTAATATTATTTAGCAATAAACACGAAGTATTGATATATGTTATCACATGGATAACCTTGAAAATATGTCAAAAATAAGAAGCCTATCACAAGACTACACATCAGATGATTCCATTTATATGAAATGTCCAGAATGGGCAAAACTCTAGCCTTGGGCTAGAGGAGTGTAAAGGGTAGAATAAGGAGTGACTGGTTATGATATGAAGTTTCTCTTTTGGGATGATGAATGTTCTAGAATTAGATAATGGGATGTTGTATAACTTCATTAAAAACTACTGAGCTGTACACACTTTATGCAATGTGAATTATATCTCAATAAAAAATAGATTGTGGCAATGGTTATATAACCCTGTGAATTTACTAGAAAACATATAATTGTACACTGCATTTATTTATTTTGATGCAAGAGACTGATCCCTGGGCCTTTAAGCTACACCCTGAGCCCAAACTGTACACTTTAAATGGGTGAAATATATGGTACAGGAATTATATCCTTTTTTTGTGTGTGTGTGTGTGTGCTGGGGATCAAGCTCAGGACCTTGTGCTTGTGAGGCAGGCGGCAGAACCACTGAGCTAAATCCCTGGGCAAGAATTATATCTCAATCAGTCTGTTGAAAAAGATCCAAGAGATTGAAAGATTAATGCAAAGCAAGAACAGCTTCTTTATTTTTTTAAGCACCAGGGACTGAACCCAGGGCCTTCACACTAAGCTACATCTCCAGTCCTTTTTATTTTTTATTTTGAGACAGGGTCTTGCTAAGTTGACCAGGCTAGGCTTGAACTTGTGATCATCCTACCTCATCCTCCCAGAATGCTGGGATTACAGGTGTGTGCCACCACACACAGTTCCATTTTAAATTTTGAGATAGAGTCCTGTTAAAGTGCTTAGGCCAGGCTCAAACTTGCAATCCGGCTGCCTTAGACTCCCAGGCATGGACCACTACACTTTGCCTAAGAACAGCTTCTTAAGGTCCTTCCTCTTTCCTGCTCCCAGCTCTTCCTGCATTCTGATGCTCCCCCTCTAAAACAGAATTATAAAAGAAAATCAGTTTTCCTGTGATTTATGTTTTACCACAAAAATCAAATATATTTTTCAATTTAAGAAAACTATCCTGCTGGGTGTGGTGGCACCCGCCTGTAATCTTAGTACTTAGGAGGCTGAGGCAGGAGGATTGTCACGAATTTCAGGCCAGCCTGGACTACACAGTAAGTTCAAGGCCAGCTTGAACTACAAAAGTGAGACCCTGTCTCAAAAACAAAAACAAAAAATAAATTAATTAATTAATAAAATTTTTAAAAAAGGAAAAGAAAACTAGCCAGCTCTATATATTCTTCTCTAAAATTCAAGATCTATTTATTTGGGAATTAATAATACAATAACTTCTACTTTCTCTGTGACGAATTTTGCTTTGGCCTTGGCTTAATTACAAGGATTACAGAGAAATATACTTCACTTTTGTAGGTAAAATAAAGAACCAAAGGGCCTGGAGGTATAGCTTAGTTGTAGAGTATATGTTTAGTATGCTTGAGACACTGGGTTCAATTGCCAGCACTAAAAATAAATAAATAAATAAATAAAATGTACAAATTTAAGATCTGGTTTCAAAAATAAACCTCTACACATGAATCTCATCTCTCACCATCTCCTAGGTAGTTGAGGATGGATGGAGATATAATAATAAAAGATGGAGGGAAATGTTCCTATTATGACCTTTGGTCAGACCTCTAAAGAGGTGGGAAGAATGTGACAGAGACTGATTGGTTTTGTGGACCACTCTCTCGCTTTCTGGCTTTAGAGTTTAGCCTTGTTCAGAACATTTCCAATCATCTTTCAAGTACTGCATGGAAGCACTCCCAAGTGCCCCTTCACTCAATATGTTACAATCATACCTGTACAAGTAATAACAATGTCCACTTGTCGGATGACCTCATTTAATTTCACCAGTCGAAATCCATCCATACTGTAGAAATAAAGCATTATCAGTGAACCTAAATTGGCAGCTGGGGAGCCTTTTGCCACAGAATCTTAAATGCTATTACTAACCTCCTTTGGTACCTATAGTATCTCTTCTTGAGATAGCTGGACTATTCCTATAAGTTAAAAATCCAAACCGTTTCCTTAGTTCACACAGAAGAGAAATAAAAGGTTCTTTCATATCACTGGAATTTATTTCTTACTACAATGGGGAGCCAGGGTTTATCATGAGATTTCCAACTAAATTTCTAGAAAGTATCATTTAGCCACTTAATGTAGTACCCTATTGAAACTGCCCTCTCAAGATCATCAATTATCTCCTGGATGCCAACAAATAAAAATATTTCTTAAACTCTTATTCCACTTGATTTCTCCTACTACATTAAATATTATATTTCTTCAATTCCATGTTTTTGTCTCCTGGTTTTTCTTTTATTTTCTAATTATTTCTCATCAATCTCAGACAACCTTTAAATGTTGGTACTCTGTAGGGTTCTGCACTGGACTTCTCTATTTTTTAGTACTCATTCATGAACCTTGCCCTTCACTGTAAATAAACACTTACAGCTATGTGATTTGTACATTTGTATCTTTAATTTAGTTCTATCTGAAGCTTGATAGACAAGGGTCAAGTAATCCACTGGATAACTCCTCACAGATGTATGAGAAGGATCTTAAACTTACTGTATTGGAAAATAAACTCATAATCTTCTATGCACCTTCTCCCCATCTATTTCTTTTTTTCTATTTTCTATCTTGATCAATACATCATTCACTGGTCATCCAACTGTTTGAGCCAAATAAACTAGAATGTCATAAACCTACTGCTCTCTGTAATTGAAGTTGTCACCAAATCTGGTTGATTCTATTTTCTTAAAAGTCTTGAATCTGTCCTCTCACTCTCGATACATGCTGTCCTTACAACTTTTTGTCTAGATCATAGCAGTAACCTCTGGCCTAATCTCATTGCTTCTAGATTTACGTCTCTTAAAATCATGTTGCAGGGTGATTTTCCTAAATACAATCAGAACAGGTCACTTTCTTAAAATACTTCAATGAGACTGCCTTTCTTCAGGATAAGATGTGAATACTAATATAGATGTATGATTATATTGATATATGACTCCTACCTCAGATATTATCACTCCCCCAAATTTATCTTATCTGATAACTGTATTCAAATACTTACAGCTTCTTAAATATGCTGTGCTATCTTCTTTGGATACTGTGCACTCGTTCCCTGCACCTGGCACAGACTTCCAAACTAAGAAAACACAAATTTCTCAGTTCTCAGTTTCCTTCTCTCTGTCTCTCTCTCTGTCTATATGTGTGTGTCTTGCCATGTAGTCCAGGCTGGTCTTGAAGTTGAGGTAATCCTCCTGCCTCCAACTCCTTAGTGCCCCATCCACCCACCCTGCCTGCCAAGATAGCTTTACTGACATTTCTCTCTACCCTGCCTTAATCTTCCATTAGAAGTTTCTCCTTTGTTCTCTTACAGGAGCATGTGCCATCTACTTTCATAATAGTACCTACTACACTGCACAGTGGTTATTTATTGGTGTTCTTCTAAAAGCAGGGCCTTGTCTCATCTCATCTTAGTCATCCTCAGCACACAGCACAGTACATAACAGATAATTTGAACTATACTATAATCAATATTATGTTCAGGTTTCTATAATAAACCACAAGAGTACAACAACAGTGATGGGCCGGGGATTTAGCTCAGTGGTTCTGTCACCTGCCTCGCAAGCACAAGGTCCCAAGTTTGATCTCTGGTACCAAAAAAACAACAGTGATGGTTCCCCTCACATGCTGGAACCCTGCCTTAGAGAAAATCAACAACTCTGCTGGGGAAATCTGTGGGTTTATGGCTAGGAAATAGGAGTGGTAGGACAGGGGGAAATGGCATCATGCTATGCCTATTCTACCCTAAGGACGTCTTTTTGGAGGGTTAGAGGTAAAGACTGTGTGAGGTATACAAGCTATGGACACCTGGACCTGCAAATTTTTAGGGACAGTGACATTTCTTTTTTTCTTTTGGTACCATGATGAAACGGGTCCTTGCACTTGCAAGCAGGCAGTGAAACCACTGAGCTAAATCCCCGACCCTTTTTTTCTTTTTTTGACAGTGATATTTCTATCCTACTAATAACAGCTACCATTTAGTGAACATCTTTTTTGTGACAGTAGGTCTGTATAATTATATAATATATGATAATATAATAATTATTTACAACCCTGTGAAGTAGGTATGATTATTTACATATTAAAGGTAAGAAAGGAACTTTTTTTTAAAAAAAGGTTTCAAGGGCCAGGGATTTAGCTCAGTGGTTTCATCGCCTGCTGTGCAAGCGCAAGGACCTGAGTTTGATCCCCGGTACCAAAAAAAAAAAAAAGGTTTCAATTTCAGAGTCATTTTATTATAGAGAGCTAAGTTAGGTAGAAATATTACAGGTTGAAATTATAGAAATATTATAGAAATATTATAGGGTTAGGCCCTCGAGACAGTCAGGACAAAGATAGAACACATCACAACCATGGCCGGAGATACATCTGTTAGAGATGAGGCCTCAAGATAAAGATGAAATGACCAGGCCTGCATATTTCCTCAAAAGACAAACACCAAGCTTAATAAAGTCTAGATAGACATCAGTTACCCCCAGTGGGTGACCAAAGACCTCTGGACCCATCATTTCCTAGAAGAAGTCTTTGTTTTTTCCATGCACACTTGTTACTTGATGTGTTTCCCAATTGGATCACTATTACCTAAGCAACTATACTTGTAACCTTATTGGTTAATCATATCCATAAGCCATACTGTACCTACATGGGTTTTGCTCTATAAAACTTCCCTGCAAAGTGGGGTCCCTGGGTACCCATTTGCATCCCCTCTTGCCTCTCAGGAGCTATCTTCTCAATAAATATTTTCTTACTTTTTTTTTTGGTACCAGGGTTAGAACTCTGGTCCCTGCGCTTTCGAGGCAGGCTGCAGAGCCATTGAGCTAAATCCCCGGCCCTATTTCCCTACTCTTAACCTCCATTGTTCCTGGAATTCATTCTTTGATTTTTAGAGAACACAAACTTGGCGTATCAGAAATCTAACAGGTTGGGAGATATATTTTCATATTTCATCTCCTGTATCAATTTGAAACAAGTATTTTAAGAGTAGTACAAACAAATTCCCACATACCATTCACTTAAGAGTTAGCAGATTTGTCTGATATTTCTTCATGATTAGATTCAAGTCATACATTTTGGGGAGGAATATCACAAAAAAAGCTCTTCTCAGGGTATCAAATCAGAAAACATCTGATATGAGCCCCTCTCCATTCCTCTCTTTGGTGCTGGGCCTTTGGTGAGCTAAGCACATGCTCTACCACTGAGCCACACACCCAGCCCCCCTATTGTTTTGATCATTGTTCTGTAAGGCACAGGGATAACATATGGTGGAGATAAGAGGCTATTTGTTCTCTGGCTCAAAACATCTCCTGTTACTATTTCCACAAGAATTCTTAATTTTATCTTCTGTCAGATCAGAGCTCCTTGACCTTTGATTTTTTTTTTTTTTTTTGGTACCGGGGATCAAACTCGGGTCCTTGTGCTTGCGCAGCAGGCAGCGAAACCACTGAGCTAAATCCCCGGCCCTCCTTGACCTTTGAAAAACAGATGCTTACAGTTTTGGCAGCCTCTCTCAGGATCTGGAGCTCTCTAATATAAGATGTGGCATTATCCTAGCTATTCTTTGGAGGCATGTTAGATGGTGGTGTAGAGGAGGGAGCAGGTCTCTCTTTGCATGCTTACCAGGCTTGCAGGGCACAGATGGGGTCAATTTCAGTTACATACACAATGGAGCCCATGGCTTTCAGAGCAGCACAGCACCCTTTCCCCACCTGAAGGAGAGAGAGAACGCATATAATAAGGAAAGTCAGTAGAAAACAGTTCTCAAAGGTTCTGGTAAAGAGTACTTTTCTTTCCGCCCCCAAAAAGAATTTCGCTGAATAGATTCATGCTCGGGAAAAAATAAAAACAATAAATGCAGTTCATAAACAAACCCCTAGCCCCTACTTAGAATATTCATGTGCACAAGAACACCCACACTCACGATTTATAATCAAAACACAAGCTAAAAGAACATCACAAGCAATGGTGTTGAAACAAGTCAGAAAATCAACTTAGAAAAAAATGGCAAAAATGAGAAGGGAAAAAGAAAGACTGTACTTCAACCAGAGGCACTCTAAAGTAATTTTTCCCATATAAAGTGTGAAAAATTCTAGACTACTTCAGCAAAACACATTTGAAATACCTAGTAAGAGAAAGGTTAAACTTTACCTCTCCATAGCCACAGACCACCACTTGCTTTCCACCAAACATCATGTCTGTTGTCCTTTTAAGTCTAGGGAGAAAAACATCATTAAATCAGAAAAAAAAATCTCATTTTGCCCCTGAGGTTAGATTGAGTCTCTAATTTGTTTTGTTTGTTTTTCTTCCCAAAGGAAGACATTGTCTCTCTGTGACTACAAATGGCTGTGGTGGAATGGAAATATGATCAACCCTGCTACTTCTACAAATAGGTGACAGACATATATGGATTCTACATAGGCAGGTTTCCCTGTGATCTTAGGGTCCCAGATCTGCCTCAAAGTGAAACGATAAAGGACAGAAAGACCTCAGGCAAGGAAGATTTTTTTTGCGGGGGGCCTTAGGGCAATAAGCTGTCTGGTGCTGTCAAAGAGCTTTGTCAGTTCTCCAACTTCTTACGAATTCTTCTAGCCCTGGGACCCTCTAGTAGAAGAGCTCCTATAACAGTCTATGATATGATCTGGAAATCTTGCCTGGGCTCCTTTGGAGCTCTAGGACTATCCTCTTCCTGCCAAATGGAATCTGTCTCCAGAAGGCTGCACTTGCACTGCGTTTGGCACCACAGTCCATTACAGAAGCATCCTCTAGGAGGCAACAGGGATTCCCTCGTTGCTTATGGGGGTCCTGTGTAACCAGCCCAGAAGCATAGAAGGTCCATCATCAATATGTTCTTTATACAGATGTTCTATTAACCTGACTGTCCTCCCTTTTCCACTGCAGGCTTCCCTGAGTAAGGCTTACCTCTCCTTTCAGCTCTCCTACTCTTAACTCCTCTGAGAGGAAAAACTACTCTAGACCCAACTGGAAAGTTCTTCACCATCTATCAGTAAGGTATCAATGAGGTATCAATGAGCTCTTATGACTCACAAGTTTCTGGTGAACAGTTGATGTTTTCTTATTTTTTCCACTGTAAAATCTAACCTTAACTCTGGTTCAACTGCTTCTTTCTCACTTTCATACATTTTTAATTTTTACGTACAGGATAAACTCTGGTTGAGAGAGATTCATTCTATCCATTTTTATGAACTAGTTAGTATATGTACCTGTATGCATTTTTATTTTATGTTT